ACCTCCACCATGTATTCGTTGGTAGCAGGGGAAGTTTTGATAGTTGGTTAGTGGGGGGGGTGTTTTTTTTTTTTTTTTTTTTTTTTTTTCTTCAATCGTAGAATGAAAACCGACCTCGAATGGCTGATTCCAGCAACTTAGCGCGCCACCAATGGTTGAAGCCAGGATCTTTTCACCGAATTTGAGCTTTTCATCCTTGCTCTTTCCATTCACTGAGCGAATGGTTTCTTCTGCAAAGCGAGAGATACCAATTCTCGATGACCAACCCGTCACTTGTCGTAAAGCGACTGCGTTAACACCCTTGTTTACACCCCGAATGCCTTTCTCCCGAAGCAGTTGGAAGAATGTTTCCATTGTTCCCGGCACCTTTGCACCATCGGCACCAAGTTTTGTGCGGGTGACCTCGACGGTCTTCATGCATGTTGTCATTCCCATTGTGAGATATGACTGGGCAACACCACCAGCAATGCCACCTAAAACTCCACTTGCTGTAGCTGAGGCGTTCAACTTTGTCCTAGCATGATGTTCAACTTCAGTTGATGCAAGAATAAGAATTGCTCCCTTAGTAGATGCCTCTAGCCATGCCTATAACAACGAATGTGAGATTTGTTCATTCATGGACCGAGGTATCGAATCTCACCCAGGGAATGAGTCCTTGGTAGAAGGCCCCCACACGGCCACGGGCCCAGGTTTTCTTGACTGCATCTAACAACGTATCTTTTCGGTTGGCAGCCAACTAAAATTTATGATAAGTGAATGAACTTTGGAGAACACAAATGAAATTGAGCTTGGCAAGCATACATGAGTCTTTAGCACTTCCATTGGCTGACCGAGTGAGGACACTATTTTGGTTAGCGGGAGAAATGGGTTGTCAGACTTAAAGAGCTGTACCTTGAAAGATATTCATGACTGCCCCGACTGCCAGATTTCTGTAGGGAATGGTCCGTTTCTCCTGGACGGCATGTTGAGCCGTCGGTACAGTCTTGGTTGCTAATTGTGACATCCTTGAACAGACAATTGTGATGAAAGAGAGAACGGGCTCCGTGGGTATCTATGAATTGGCGCGTATTGATCTTATTAAATGCATTTGTATGGGTGTTATCCTTGGTTGTTGAGGCAAGTGTCGGGTGGATGCGATGTCGGATGCATCCGATGCTCGCTTTGCGGAGATTCGCAGTTGGTACGATTGGCGATCGGCAAAGCCGAAGACCGCGAAATTGCCCAGGTGAACTTCAATCTTCTGGAGGCCTGTGTCACTCAACGGAATCTGCCGCTATGCCATATATACTTTAGCATACTTGAAATGATAAAGTACATGCTAACCCAGCCACTTCGTTTTGCTCCACTGTTTACGAGGCTATCTCGAAATTATCGCCACAGAATGGCCTCACAAACCATATTTACGCAAGTTAGCGATGGGAAAAGATTGGACATCTTGTCAGCAAATAATCACTTTCTTTAGATTTTCATTTACTCATGACTTTTGCAGACCCTTGATTCCCAGGAACGGGTTTGACACTCACGTACACGTCTTTGACCCCCGTCTAGCGCAATATGCTGCTCGTCGCGCCTACACCCCCGAAGATGCCCCCCTGGAAAATCTGGTCGCATTCAATCAATCCATATCTTCAAACCCCGAGAGTAATATTTTGGTTCTCGTTCAGCCTTCACCTTACAAAAATGACTGTTCTGCCATGATTCATTGCATGCATCAACTCAAAGCCCAGAATATCCATGTATTCGGCATTGTGGTGCTGGATTTGAAAACCACTTCTGATGAACAGCTGAAAGAGATGCACGAGCTCGGCGTACGTGGAGTTCGACTGAACTTCCAAGCAGACGGGAAAGAAGTAAACACCGACAAGCTGGTAGCTGCATTGAACGAGACTGCCGAGCGCATTCGTCATCTACCTGGGTGGATGATCCAGCTGTTCGTCCCTGGCTGGGCGTGGGACCGTAAGCCCGTCAACGATGAAACAGATCCATTGAGCCTTGCTGACAAGAACTTCATTTAGAATTACATGATCCGATCATTCGACTCCCTGTCACAATTATTGCTGATCACCTTGGTGGTATGCGGGGTTCAAGCAAACTGCCTTTGGTTCTACAATCGGTACCAACATCGCAGCCTGGCTTCAAATCACTTTTGTCACTTGCAAGGAAATCACGCGTTGCCGTCAAGATCTCCGGCCTCTATCGCATGTCCAGCGATACTCCGGTTCACGACGACTTGCAACCAATCGTCCAGGCGTTTTCCCGAGAGATTCCGAATCAGCTTATTTGGGGAAGTGACTGGCCACACACCGGAGAAGGATCTAATAGACTCGAGGGGCGAATTGATATCAAGGAGCCTTTTAGGGTAGTTGATAACCGCGGAATTTTGGGTCGGTTGCACGATTGGATGGGGAACGAGGTTTATATAAAGATGATGGCTGATAACCCGAAGCGTCTGTTTCATTGAGAACGAATTTCTATGGCAGGAAGATACGCAATAGCTATTGAGGGACATAGCTTGATAAGATAAATTGATCGCTCATGTAGAGTGGTTTTTTGAGCAGCACGCATACCCTTTGGGTATGTGATCGTGATGGAGTCGGGCGTCGCTTGGCCAGGCCACATAGACAAAGAGGTGTATATGTGCAGCCAGAAGCTGGGTATCGCATCCCAAGGATTAGTTCGGCATACTATGACGCTGTAAACATAGTTCACTGGTCTCTGGGCCTGTTCAATGAAATCCGAGATCAAATTCAAGTATTCAAGCACGGTTTCAGTTATAGACCCCTTTAGATTGAGGCCCTCGCGGTACCCGAACGGACAAAAGAGCAGCAATGAGTTTGGGGAGGGAGTTGAGATTATGAGGATGTTGTGGAGAGAGAGAGAGAGAGGGAGAGAAAGAGAGAGACCTGTAACCAAGGCGGTGAGTCACATGAATGGCAGTAACCAGTCAGCACGGGACGGGGCCCCGGGGTCCGAGCTCCGGGCTGGGAGTCTGGGGTGCTCCTGTAGTTACTCAACCTTGACCTGTCGGCTTAGCGGCAGGTTTTCCGTTTATCCCCTGTGTCATGCACAGATCTGCAGACTAATCTTTACGCCACGTGAATGCCCCGATGACTGAGAATCCCTCATCAACGCCTCGCCGCCATCGTCGGGGCATGCCTCGAAGCGTGGCGGCATGCCAACGCTGCCGTCGGCGAAAACAGAAGGTTAGCTAATGCCGTTTTATGAAAATGTGTATTCAAGACAGTTGCTAATCGAGTACAGTGTGATGGCAAGCTCCCGACGTGTGGTCCTTGTGCCGCAGTCGGAGCCACTTGTGTTCTTTCAGACCGATTGGTAGTGCAGCACGCAAATTCCAACTGTGACTGTGATTTACTCCGTTCTCAACTCGCTACTTCCGAGCAGAGATGCAATGAGCTCACTCGAAAGTGCGAGCAGCTTGAATATCAGATGCTGAATATGATGGATTCATCCCTGCCTGCTGTATCTGGAATATCAGCTACAGGGTGTTCTTCAGCGGCCCAGACAGCAGCTGAAACCGTCATCCAACCTGACCAGCCAGGAAGCAACCCAGATCATCGATTCACGAGTCGAATTCTGAGACCCACATTTTCGATGAGGTCCACTATCAAATGCGTGAACCGCAGCGCCATGAGCAGTGCCTGGGAGCTGTGGGGAGATGACACAGACACCGACGTACCGGAGCCGAGGGCATCAGACCTTGATAATGACGCACTATTTGCCCTGGCCAAAGCATTTTTCGACCAACGCTCGCCTTACTTGCCCATTCTCCATAGGACTCGCTTTTTTGACGACCATTTGACACCTTTCCTCACCAAGTCCGGCATGAAGCCCTTTTCCAATTTTTTAGTCAACATTGTGTGCGCCATCGGGTCAACCGAGAAAACATCAAGAAACACGACTCAGAAACACCACAGAGTTTTGTTTCGAATAGCGGTACAGGATCTTCATTTGGTTATGAGTGCCGAAAATTTCGAATGCATCCAATGTCTGCTGTTGCTGTGCATGTACGGTCACAACGAGCCGCAATCGGTCAATATGTGGTATACGGCTGGGCTTGCCCTGAATCTGGCCATCGGTATCGATCTGCATCGCAAGGAGAGCATCGCCGAACAGGACACCATGAATGCGGAAATGTTCAAGCGCGTGTTTTGGGGGGCATATGTGGTCAATTGCAGTATGGCGATCAACATGGGGCGTCCTTTGGGGATTCGAGACTCTGATATCAGCATGCCATTGCCTCTACAAATGACTGATACTCAACTTGACGAGTCCATCAGTAGCCCCTACGCCGAGCAGACACTCATACCGTCCGTGGCCGATACCTCAACGTTTGTTCATATTATTAAATTGCGCCAAATGAATGCCGTCATATATACCACATTCCATTCCGTCGAACCTACGCTGGCAGATAGCGCTGAATTGCATCGACTCCGCGCCGGGTACTTCTTGGAGTTGAATCACTGGCTTATGACTGCGCCACGATATATGCAGAGTCAGTCCACATTTCAATCCACCGAATGGTTCCAAATTGCATTTCATCTTGCTGTGCTGTCGCTATATCGTCCATCACGTGCCATTCCAATGCCAGAGTCTGAGGATTTGCGCATATGCACCGAGTCTTCGATTGGTCTGATCAGCTCATACAGCGCACTGTATGCGCGCAATCGCATCAAGTACACATTTGTCGCCATTCACTCGCTATTCATGGCAGCGGTCACAATGCTTTACGCTTTACGGGCATTTTCCCCTCTACGAAGGGAGCTGACCAGAGACGTGATCAAAACCAACATAACAACCTTTCTCATCATTTTCCGTGGGATATGTGATGGACGCCTTGTCGGTGAGAAATGCTGCCATATCATCGAACGGCTTGGTGATTCAATCTTGTCACTGTTTGAAAGTGAGGACCAAGCAGATTCAAGCATCGATATAGAATTCCAGACTTGGTTTGGACTTCAGATCCATACTCTCTTCCCTCAATCAAACGAGACGGAGCCACTGATAAACCCTAATGGATTACCACCACATTTCCAGGATTTTCAAGTCGATCTCCCCTGGGCAGATCTCTTTACGGAGGGAATTGATATGGGCATGGCGAATATTTCGAGTGCTTTGTTCTAAAGATTTCCATCAATGACTGGAGACTTTTCCCGTGAGGATATTTTACCCTCCTATGAATCCAAATCCCCGGGGATTGAGAGCAATTCTACATCGACAAATGTACCCACGCAGACTATGTACCACACATACCCTGAGCCTACTCCACGGGATCATCATTCTATACCGCATCTCGGCAATCAGCAATGTGCCGAAACCGAGAACTTCATAACCCGATTTGTTGCGCAGCCACCGAATCGGCACTTGTGTTGGTACCTCCAGCTCAGCCGCCGTGTGATATGTTTGATTCAATCAACGTCTTTCATACCAGCGCCCTGGATGAAACACGATGTGTTACTTGAGGGTGGAACAGGGGATATGATGGACTCTCACACGATAGGTCACTGTCACCGATACCATCTTTATATGTTCAACCACATTCCATATGAAGACTGTCAACAGCCATCGAGAATCCATGAAACTCTTTCATTCTCGGACATCGGTAGAGCCGAAATACGCTGGACTGCCTCGGGCCGTTCTCCGAAATCGGCAGTAATGCGCAACAAGCTTGTTGGTCACTCTTAACTTGCCAGTGCTGCCTTCTCGCTGTAACACATATATGCACTCAACCTAAGCCGGGCCACCTTCCAAATTCCTGTCTCTTCCTCGAAACCCAGAACCAATCAAGATGGCCTCTCCATTTCTGCAAAGTCTGAAACGATTTTCTACATGTGATGTGCGCCTCCCCAGCTTTCCTTGCCTACCACCCAATATAGTCCAAGCTAACCATTCAGATTGGCGATGCATTGGTCAAACTCAAGCAGCCTTATGGAGGCTTCCTAGATGGCTTGAAGATGTTTTCGCCCGAGCGAGGCACTAGTATCTACGGCCCAACCATCACAGTGAAGATGGTGGAACAAAACAGTCCTAGCCCTTCCTCACCAATGCATTTTGCAGACGCCAACAAGGATGGCCACATCATGTACATTCAGCAACCCAAGGGGCTTCCCTCGGCGTGCTGGGGAGGCTTGATGTCCACTCGCGCACACAAGCTCGGCGCACTCGGTGTGATCATCGACGGTCGCATGAGAGATACACAGGAACACCGTGATCTTGGATTTTCGGCAAGTCAATCCACTGTGTACTTTCGGGGTCGGGCTAATTCTTTGACAGGTCTTCGCGCGTGGTACCTCCGTCCTCGGTTCCAATACCTTCACCCGTGCGTCCGAGATCAATGTCCCCTTACAGTTCCGCGGAGATCTATGGATTCACCCGAATGATATCATGGTTGGTGATGAGAACGGGGTAGTCGCTGTTCCTCCGTCTTTACTCGAGCAGGTTGTGGAGCTTTGCCAGGAGCGTCTTGAAATTGACGAAAAGACATTTACGGCTTTGCGAGCGGGAGAGCCGATGGGACCGACCATCAAGCGACTCCGCAAGTAGGACCAAATCGGATAGACCCGATGGGGCGACTACCATCATTTTAAGTGAATTTCGTCATTCTATCGCTCCGTTGAGTTTGCAGTACCTCTTGCAATAATTACCATGCTTGGAAGACCCGTGCAGAACAATTCGAAAATATTCAAATACGAACTGTGCGCCGCCTACAACTGCATTGTATATCATCTACCACAACAGCCCTATTTACCGGCACTACTGCTGCTAATTGGGGCGTTTAAGATTTACCCTAGGGCATTATGCCATCTTGTGCAGTGTCGTCAGGACCGCTTAAGTGGTTATAAGGGTAAACACCATCGGACACATCCGAAGAATATCTCTTCCCCCATAGCGTTTTGCCACCGGTGAAAGTGGTATCTGTTGATACTCTCTCCACATGAGCCCCAGTGCCCCAGATATTGACAGCCTATAATAGGGACTTGAATTACTCCCATTGACCCCGGCCCCAAACTCCACCACCCACGACTCGAATTATACTGAACGAAATCCCGAAACCCCACAAAAATGTCACCCCAGGCTATTCCGTAGTCTTATCTCGCACGTGCCCTATTTCTCTAGGAACCATCCTACATAAGCTTTCACAAAGGACCTTGTTGGGGAAAAAAGTTGAGGAATTTGAACATCAGAAAAATGACTTCTCTCCGTCTGTCCCTCAACTTACAGGGCAGCCAGCTCCTGGTTGCCTTGGTTGCATTGATCGTGGCGCCTTCTTTCATTCTCTTTGGCTACAATCAAGCCGTTCTGGGCAGTTTACTTAGCCTGAAGAGCTGGGTGGCAGTCTTTCCCGCCATTGATACTATCGATACCAACGGAGCACAGAAATCCCACAACTCGACATCACAGGGCGCATGCAATGCGTCCTTTCAGATGGGATGTTTGATTGGGGCTTTGTCTCTGTCCATGTATGGAGAAAAGCTTGGACGTCGGAAAACAACCTTCATCGGTGCCGCTATCACCGTCATTGGCCAAGCACTGCAGGTTTCTGCAACAACTTTGACTCAATTCGTTATTGGTCGGGTCATACTTGGCTTTGCCATTGGCCAAATCAGTGGGACTGTGCCAGTCTGGCTTTCAGAATGTGCGCCACCTAAGCACCGAGGACAGCTGGGTATCTGTACCGGTATCTTCATCAGCACCGGGTACGCTCTGTGCAACTGGATTGATCTCGGATTCAGTTTCCTCCATCCCTCTACTGCCCAATGGAGGGCTCCTTTGGCTATCCCATTTCTTCTCTCAGTTGTCATGTTAATATCTATCTTCTCCTTCCCCGAATCCCCTCGATGGCTGGTATCGAAGGGGAAAATCAGCGAGGCCACAGTTAGTCTGGCTCGGTATCGAGGACTTGAAGGCTCGGCAGAGGAGATCTTAAGGGAGATCTCTAGTATCGAGTTGGCCTTTGAGAGCACCGAGACTTCTTCTTTGAAGGACATCTTCAACCCAGAAGACAAGACACGGCTGCTTTACCGATTTTGGTTATGCATGGGTTTAAACTTTTTCCAACAGGTAAGTCAAACTGAAGCAAACGAATTGACAGAAACTAACGTACCATTCCACTATTCAAGGCCTGCGGCGGAAACCTCATATCCGTGTACAGCTCAACCATTTTCGAAGGGTCGCTGGGGATGACTCCGGAACTTGCCAAAATTCTTGCTTCATGTGTTCTTATGTGGAAGACATTTTGCTGCCTGATATCCTTCTATGTCATCGACCGATGGGGTCGTCGTCTATGTTTCATGATCAGTGGCGCAGGTATGGCTGTATGCATGGCTGTTCTAGCCGTCACGACCAGCTTTAGCACATTGACGCACCCAATGGCCATCGCTTATGTGGCTTTCATGTTCGTTTTCAATTTCTTCTACCCCATCGGCTTTATGGGAGGGAACTTCCTTTACTCAGCAGAGGTTGCACCTGCACGTCTGCGAGCTGCCATTTCGTCTCTTGCGACTGCCAATCACTGGTTATGGAACCTCGTCGTTGTACTGGTCACACCAGTGGCTATTGATACCATTGGATTTTGGTACTACGTTATTTACGCGATCATCTCTGCGACCATACCTGTTACTGTTTAATTATTCTATCCTGAGACCATGCGTCGCAGTTTGGAATCTGTGAATCAGGTTTTCCTCGATGCGCCGTCGGTTTGGAAGATTGTACCTTACGCGCGAAATATATCAGAGGCTTTGGCGCTCGATGATGCTGAGCGCGAGCCTGAGAAAGCCGGCGCTGCCGATGATGTTGAGATGCGGGAGTACATTTGAATCTACTTAAGTATTATTTGTTGTACTTATCATAGATAGACGCTTTTGATTGGTTCAAAGCTTCGTAGACTTTGGAATATAAACCTGACTTCATCCCTCGAGCCTTTCAGAACTTTGGTAGTAGAGTTCAGACACCTTCAACTAAGCTTTAACTTTAGAACCAAGCTTTGAAGTCAACAGTCTAGAAATACTTACCACTTGGAAACCATAGACACATACTGGAAATAGACTCCTGCTTTTTTGGTTTTCTTTGGGTTTTCTTTAATTTTATTTTCGGCCTTTCCATTTGGCGAGGGGTTTAGTGCATCCGTTCTACATATATCCTTCGCACACAATTCACTAAGTACATAATTTGGGCGAACGGTAGAGGTAAAATCGATAATCAATGGCACAAGAATGACTGATCTTGAGAGCGGAGCGATTCAAGTGCCGATTTACGCTCAAAATTGTTTTGCCTCCGGTGATATTACGTCGGCCTTAAGCCGCGCTCGATTTCTGGGTTGTCGGAACAGCCGACGGAAGCATCCGAAAGCCATGAACAGCGCGCCTCGGCGAATGGGAGGGTAGAGATTACAGAGATAACATCCCAAGCCCTTCTTTAAAAACATACCATGTTGATTAACTTGGTTTTGGCAAATCTATCTCAAAGTCATAACAATGCGCCAAGGCTTGCCTAAGCTGGCGCGAGGCTTTGCCTCTCAAGCCCGACTTCCAAACGTCCCGCTCAGTCGACTTGAATCCTCTACAATCAATTTGAACAAGTTCCCTTCTACTGTCAAGACACTTCGGGATAGGTAAGCTATCACATCTCCTACTTTGGGTTCATGCGTACTGATCCATGCTCAATCCAGGCTCAAGCGCCCTTTGACGTACGCGGAGAAAGTACTGTACAGCCATCTCGATAACACTTTTGACGAGCGGATCGAACGGGGAAAGTCGCAATTAAAGCTTCGACCTTTGCGAATCGCCTGCCAAGATGCCACTGCTCAGATGGCACTCATTCAATTCATGTCCGCCGGAATGGAACAAGTAGCAGTGCCGACCACAGTCCACTGTGACCACCTCATCGTCAGTCGAGACGGAGAAGCCCAAGATTTACCTCGAGCGCTCGATGCGCATCGCGAAGTTTACGACTTCATGGAAAGCGCCTGTCAAAGATACAACATGGGATTCTGGAAGCCAGGAGCGGGAATCATTCACCAAATTGTTCTTGAGAACTACGCATTCCCCTCTGGGATGATGATCGGAACAGACTCACATACACCCAATGCGGGTGGTTTGGGAATGATTGCGATTGGCGTTGGCGGTGCCGATGCTGTTGATGTTATGGCAGGTCTCCCACTGGAGCTCAAAGCGCCAAAGGTCCTAGGAGTCCGGTTGACAGGCGAGCTTTCGCGATGGGCCGCTCCAAAGGATGTCATCAATGCAGTCGCTGGTATCGTTTCAGTGAAGGGGGGCACGGGTTCCATTATCGAATACTTCGGCCCAGGCGCAAAGACACTCTCAGCGACTGGAATGGCCACGGTGTGTAATATGGGTGCTGAGACTGGAGCAACAACTTCTATCTTCCCATACGCTCCTCAAATGGCGGATTACCTTCGCTCAAACCATCGCCACGAAATGGCTGCGGCAATCGACAGCATTTCACCAGAACTCCAGGCAGACGAAGGAGCCGAATACGATAGCGTGATTGAGATTGATTTGTCCACTTTGGAACCACGCATCAATGGACCTTTTACTCCAGATCTTTCAACACCCCTGTCACAATTTGGAGATGCGTCCAAGGAAAATAAGTGGCCGAACAAGTTGACTGCTGGGTTGATTGGATCATGCACAAACTCGTCTTTCGAAGATATGGGTCGGGCTGCTAGCCTTGCACAACAAGCTTTGGATGCAGGCTTAAAGCCTAAGATGCCGCTTCTGGTATCGCCGGGTAGTTTGCAAACCCGGGAGACCTTGGAAGAAGCAGGTATTCTTTCCATTTTCGAGAAGCTCGGAGCTACTATGCTTCCCAACGCCTGTGGTCCCTGCTGTGGATCATGGGACCGTGTCGATATGCCAAAGGTATTGTTTTTGTGAATATTCTAGTTTCAACTTGAAAGGTGGTTAACTTCTTCTAGGGCACACCAAACTCGATCATCACATCATACAATCGCAATTTCTCTGGTCGACTGGACTCGAACCCAGCTACCAACGTCTTCTTGGCATCACCCGAAGTCGTCATGGCCAAAGTTTTCTCGGATGATTTAGAATTCGATCCAAGTGCCGATGCTTTGCGGACGCCTTCAGGCGGAGAATTCCGCTTCCTACCCCCGACAGGAGAGACGCTTCCCAGCAACGGATATCTTGACTCCGACGGTGCATACAAGGCGCCACCAGTTGACCGAAGTGACGTAAATGTCAAGATCAATCCTTCTTCCGAGAGACTGCAAAGATTGGCCCCATTCGAGCCTTGGTCCGGCGAGGACTTCACTGATTGTCTGGTCTTGATCAAAACCAAAGGAAAATGCACAACAGACCACATTACCCCGGCAGGCCCCTGGTTCAGGTACCGTGGGCATCTGGGAAACATTTCAAACAACACTTTGATCGGAGCTTTGAACGCGGAGAATGACAAAGTGAACACCGTACGCAACCAGCTCACGAACGAGGACGGCGATGTTCCGGGTACCGCACGCTATTACAAGGCGCAAAATCAACCCTGGGTTGTGATTGCTGATCACAACTATGGCGAGGGCTCATCGCGAGAACACGCCGCTTTGCAGCCTCGTTACCTCGGAGGAAAGGCCGTCATTGCCAAGTCCTTTGCACGAATTCACGAGTCCAACCTTAAAAAACAGGGCATGCTCGCTCTGACATTTGCCAACGAAGCTGACTACGATCGTATTCGTTCCTCGGATCGTCTCAGCATCTTGGGGCTGTCAGGTCTGGCATCAGGAGCACCGCTGAAGCTTGCGGTGAATGGAGAGTGGGAGGCCGAATTAAACCACACTTTCACTGCCGAGCAGGTTGAATAATTCAAGGCAGGAAGTGCGCTGAACATGATGGCAAAACAGTAGCCACTCCTCCAGTTGCTTTCTTATGAGTACACCAAAGAGAACTAAGGGTAGATCAATGTCATTTGTATTATATCTATGAAAAATGTCTGTCCTTTTGAAATGATTGAATCACATTCATCTCAAGTGATAGATAGCGATACAAAGAAAGAAATCACGGATACTAGGGCGCTTCTAAAGTTTCTAAAGACCTCAAGTTGTAGGTGAAAATCGGAGCCCTGGAGCCTTGATACTCAGCTCACTCTTTACTCACTCCGGCGAGGTTCACCGGATTTTGGCGCGCAACGCGGTGCCCCCACCTTTACTTCAAACTTAATTTGATCTACGCTCAGTACCCCACCATCATCATAATTCATTCAAAAGGCTTGACGGATCAGATCCAGGGGAAGCAATGATGCATATATTGGCTGAGGAGGAAGATCTAGATCTGAACAGCTATCTACAAAAGTGGGAGCATCATTTTCAAACATGAGTACCATGTACAAAGAATTGGAGTCTAGACTATTGTGAAGCGACTTAACTATAGCTAAGGTCTAGTTGTTTACAATATTCAAGCGCCGGAGAAGCGGCGAGGAAAGCCGGTACATGTTCAATGTGCCAGAGATTCTTGACACTTTCCAAAACGTTGACCCGAGCTGACCTGCGAGCAAATACGAAACCAGGTTGGCACCTGTTTACCTCCGTACCCGAAAAACTCACAGTCACAAGGTCCATCGGCTCATCCGATGACCCCCAGAACCACAAACCTAAACACTCGCGATTGCCACTGAATCGACCTTCCGCCGCATTTCGAAATTACTATCGGATCTGCATCCGATGACAGCTGAACGACTTGTGGAGACCTCCGCACCCCACACATCTGGGGAATCCGATATCTGGGGTTGGCAGATTGGCCCTGTCATGGATGGCACATAAAAGCAGGGTGGTCAGCATATGGAAGAGCATCAAATCATCTTTTCCCACTTTTCACATTGCCAGTGGAAGCTCTAAAATATCTCCCCCATGGCAAAACAACAGTCCTCATTGGCTAAGTATTTCCATGCCATTAAAGACTCACCACGAGAAATCTTTAACTGTCGGCTCTTCTTGACCGCGTTGGCATTCGCCCTTGGGGGATGTGCGAAAGGTGAGGCTGCTGACCATCATTGTTTTGGGGATTGGCTGACTCTTCAAAAGGCTGGGACGAAGGCTCCGCTGCTGCTATCACGCAACTCCCATCCTTCCGAGAAAAATACCACCTTGATGATACCTCGATATCCAACATCGTCTCTCTCGTGAACCTGGGAGCAGGAGTTGGTGCACTTCTTTCGTTCTTGTTGAATGATTGGATTGGACGGAAGAACTCACTTCGGGTGTACCAGGCCACCTACATTGCCGGCTCCCTCATATCTTGCTTCTCTTCGGGTAATGCCGGGGCTCTGTATGCTGGTAGAATTGTGGCCGGCCTTGGTATCGGAGCATTGTCTGTTGTCTGCCCGATGGCAATCTCGGAAATCGCACCCAGAGCTACAAGAGGTTTGCTGACGCTGTGGTTCAATATCTGCATGCTGGCAGGGCAGGCACTAGGTGTCTTTATTGTCTACGGTTGCTCGATTCATGTCGAGCCCGTGAAGGATCTACAATACCAAGTCCCTTGGTTTGCTCAAACGTTTGCCCCGGCCATCAGCATTGTGCTTTCGTTCTTTGTGACGGAATCACCTCGGTGGCTTCTCATCGACCAGAAACACGATCAATCCTTACAAGCGCTGGTACAGCTTCGAGGATTGTTATCCGATGCAGAGCCTGTGGCCACCGAATTTCAAAGCATGGCGTGCCAGATCGAAGATCGTGAAGCAGGTCTCGGTAAAAACAGCATTAAACAGATTGTCCGGGAAACATTCCTGGTCAAGTCGAACTTGCGTCGGGTACAATTGACGATCATCATCTATATTCTCGCGCAAATGTCTGGAGCTAACGCCATAACCAACTATCTGCCCACCATTTTTGGTCTCATTGGTGTGACCAATTCAGATGTCAAGGTTTATTCGACTGGCCTATATACTGTTGCAAAATTGATTTGCTGCCTGGCTGCTGCACTTTTCTTCATCGATTTTGTCGGGCGCCGGAAATCTCTTATGCTTGGCATATCTGTTCAGATTGCCTGTCACTCCTACCTGGCCGGTTATCTGAAGATCTATCGAAGTGACCCAGCAGGCATGAGCAAAGGGGGAACCGATGCGGCATTGGCATTTATCTATATTCATGCATACGGGTGGGCGATCGGTCTATATAGCTTGCCCTATCTCTTCGGCGCAGAGCTCTGGCCTAACAAGATTCGTTCTTTCGGTGGAGCTCTCTCACAGTGCTTCCACTGGCTCTTCTATTTCGCCATCACCAAAGCTACTCCCTCTTTGCTGAGTGGTCTTCATCAATGGGGCGCGTTCGTTCTATTCATTGGCTTCTGTGCGTTGGCCCTCCTTTACACATATTTCATGGTTCCTGAGACAGCGGGAATGAGCCTCGAAGAGATCAATAAAATCTTTGAACGTCCATTGTTCCTACTCACTCGGCCTCTCGATGCCCAAGAATATGTGCAACAAGAGCAGTAAGTTTACTCCACCCTCAAGTTATCACGTTTGATGTCTCATCTTGGGTGTTAGATGCATCGAAACCGAAGTCACCGAGACGAAGAAACCCGAAAGTGACCGATGGGTTGAAAAGGTGTAAAACCTGGAGAGCGATGGGTCATTGGCAGAATAGTGTCCTCGTTATGGGTTATAGACCGGGTTGCCCTCCTGTACATCCATGAGTTACGCAGAATATGGGGATTTACCCAAAGCTCACTTTACTAATGTTTGAACTTTTCCGGCATCAAATGGTTTTCTTCTCATGGCCTATAAGGATCGCTGTAGTAAGCATAACCCCTCAAAATACAGAAACTAATGTCTAGGTCCTGGAGAACAAAACAACAAGAAACCTCCAACACACCTATCAAACCCTGCGCATCCAAACAATCATTGCTAGAGAAGCTGAAAGACTAGCACAACCATTGTAACTTGTCGTTACAACCTCTGTATACTTTCCTGGCGTCGGCAGACAGTTTCTGTTGGATCATGAGGTTCTAAAGTGTTCAATTCTTTAAAACGAGGGTGTAGGTTAGGAGAAAATATCAAAAAGGTAGACCATGTGACTCCATTTGAGGGAAGCTCTTCTTTCACTGCTCACTCGACGTACGCAACCCGATTTCTAGAAAACGCCGTCTCCGAAAGCCACATGCAAATTTCCGATTCGAAGATGAAATCCGCTTTCTCAACACTCAAGCACCTAGTCAGCCTACGAAGCACTGATTCGTCTTCGACAAAATGTGGTGGCTGACTTCCCCGGCGGAAACCCTCTCACTTGCAGAACTTGCCTTTACCGCCTGTGGATTTAGTTTTACGGATCCTACGGGAGGTTAAGAGTATTTTCACACCAGTGGGAAGATATACTGGATAAAGCTAACAGTATGTAGATCAGCCATTACCATGGATGCAAGGCCTGGCCTTCATTGGAATCGATCGTCTAATTGAGAAGTGCCGCGAGGTCTTCTTTGCGACCGAAGAATTTTCCGAAGAGGCCTTCGTCATTGCCAATGGTGGCTTGTACTTTGTATTGGCGGACTACATGCTCATGGACCCAGATCAAGCGATGAAAGAAACATATCGGAAGTGCATGAACACAACGCGCGCCAATCTAGAGTACGGATTGGCTGGAATCAGCTTTCTCATGCCGGCAAATGCTGATACAATTGCTGCATTCAGCCTGGGGGTAAGCAGTTCACGCTGTATCATGGCCATAAGATTGACTTTCTACTCGTAGGCCATGCATGCCATTGATATCTCGAAGCCCTCATACGCTTTGACTCTAACATCCGCCGCGTCGCATCTGTGTCGAACACTGGGCTATCATCGAGAATCATCCATGGAACACGATAGCGAGAGCGAGAGACAGAACAAACTTGCTCTTTTCTGGACGGTGTACTGCATTGACAAGGCATTGTCCCTTCGGTTGGGACGTGCCGCAACAATACAGGACTACGATGTCTCAGTTCCGATGGTCATAAACATTCCTGGGATTGTGGAGCCGTGGAACACCATCTACCATTTATGGATACAGTACGCCAGGGCACAAGGAAGGGTGTACGAAATGCTATACAGCCCAATGGCGTTCAATCAAACAGAGAATTATCGAGCATCCCAAGCACGTCAGCTGGCTTTGGAGTTACAATCGATTGTGATGAAGCCGCACAAAGTATGACCGGTCTTACTTGAGATTCCTGCGATTCACTGACAGTATTACCCTCAGGCGATAGATCGACAAAGTCTATCTCTGTATGATTCCCTTCAGCTACGGGCCGACGAAGTCGCACATCTGGCACTCTTGACTATGATATACAGAGCAATTCCAGCCCCAGACGGAACCCCTGGGAGTTTCATCAGCGATTGCATCGTTACAGCGCGAACTGCTCTGGAACGCCATCAGCAGAGTATGGATATGTTGAAGTCACAAAGCGAAAGCGAAATCATCCTCTCTTATCTCCATTGGTAAGTGACTCAATCCACAATCCCCGTACCGGCCAATGAAACCAAAAGTCTTCAGGATAATTCTTTACTCTCCCTTCGCCCCGTTCATTGTACTCTTCTGCCATGTGGTAGAATCTGGCTCAACCGCAGACTTGCAGCAGTTAGAAGGGTTTGTGACCTCCTTGCTACCGCCCAACGGGGTTTTCTCAGAGGCTATCTCAAGACTACACCGCCTCTGCCAGCTGTTGACCAACATAGCGAGGATCTATCTGGAAGCGAAAATGATGCCGCAGACAGAAGAGGGCCAGATCATGGGTCGAGAGTTTGATTCATATTTGAACGCTCTCGGGCTAGCGCCCACAAATATTGGGGGATATGATATGCAGCCCTCAACGGCTTCCAACCCGGCTGCCGCTTCGGGATCTACAAGTTCCATGCATGGTATAAATGCACCAGTTGGCGCGCCACTGGCATTGCACAATCGGTTTTCAGGGAATCAGTATATGATGGGTTTGTTGGAAGAGGACATGTCTGTATTTGATATGCCAGGTCGGTGAAGAACATTGGTGGCCAATGTGGCTACCTGGGCAGCTATCATCTCTAGGGCTTAATCGGGCTATGTTAAAATGCTGTTTACATAAATCTTAGAGAAGTAAAGGGCATCGGGACATCATCTTCCGGCTGGAATCCCTCCGGCATGTGACGCTTGGGCTTCTAGATCTTATAAAACCTATGAAATCAATCTCATATTTACCTCACCTTGAAAGTGTCAGCTGGTCGGATATCAGCAACATAGAAGAATATGGAAATTTACCCAAAGCTAACTGCACTAATGTTTAAATTTTTCCGGCATCAAATGGTTTTCTTCTCATGGCCTATAGCAATCGCTGTACTAAGCATAAGCCCTGAAAATACAGAAACTGATGTCTAGGTCCTGGAGAACAAAACAACAAAAAACCTCCAACACACCCATCAAGCCCTGCGCATCAGAACAATCATTGTCAGAGAAGTTGAAAGATTAACACAACCAGCGTAACTTGTCGCTACAACCTGTGTATACTTTCCTGGCATCGGCAGATAGGTCCGTTGAGTTGTTGGCGCTGAAATGGGGGCCTCGATCACATCGGCATCTCGCCACTCATGTGGAATTGTTTCCGAGGGGTTGGTTTTCTTATCTATTGCATCCTGTTTGTCGAGATCGTTCTTGGCCTTTGTCATCCAATATGTTAGTTCCTGAAAAATCAGTCTGGAACGATTGGAGCTCCGCTAATTCCTTCTATTATCGTCGGGTTCATAGCGCCAAAAATAGCATTGACCGACATTGCCTTCCACTCTCCAAATGGGAGCACTCGGTGACCTGAAGGGCTTTCTGGGGCCTCAAAATGCCGATCGATCGCTATTAGTGGATGCCCCAAATGAGGCTGCAGAAACCGGAGAGACAAGTAGTCCAATGGGGTCGCAATCACTTGTCGCCAATCGGGCAGGATCGGTTTCCAAACTTTTAAGTGACGGAATTCTGGATTTTTGAAAACAAGCAGGACGCCGTCCGCGGAAGCAAAATTCAGAGCGTACTCTAACTCGCCATGAAGTCATTCCTTGTACTTGGAGACGAGTCTTTCGGGGTCTTCACATGTCAACCGGATCTGGTTAAGCGCTGGCGGCACTCATACGGTTAGCAGAGAACGAATGACAGCAGGACCGGGGCAGACTCAGATCGAGGGAATACAGGGGCTCGTGGTGTAGATACCCGGGCCCAACTCGTTGTCCCAATTTGAAGAATTTATGACAGGCACAAAAAATGCCATCAAGGAGGCAAGGGACCTGCGATCTGTCGCCCTGTATAGGGATGACTATGAGCCTCCGCCCAATTCGGAGAAGAGCTTTTGTGAGAGGTCAAGGCACAGCTTCGGCGTAACACGCTTCGTTTTGATGCTGGTGCCGAGGACAGCGCGAGGCATTGATTGCTCTCGCATGGCGGGAAATCAATCCGCCAGATTGTTGGGAGAGGTTGGTTCGCTCCAGTCCCAGCCCCGTTTGCTGTTTGCAGTCTGCCTTTTGTAGATAGCTATCCAGTCCATTTGCAAGGTTTCCTGATTCGAGAGCCGGGCCCAAGAAAATATGATTGGCGGGGATCCATGATTGGCAATATTTGAATGTCTGTTGTCGAGAGCGCAGATCTGTTTCAGGGTGTATTGCTCTGTCTGGAAGAGACTGGAAAGAGCGAAGAAGAATGAGAGAGAAAAAGAGAGAGGGAAAGAGAGAGGGCAAGCACCCATATATCTACACCCGGCGGTCTGAACCCGGGGATCACAGTAGATATGTACTCACTAAGCTCAGTCTCTAGCTCTTCCAGGATTGGTTATTTCCTATTTAGATTGATCTCTATCCTCTCTTCTCTTGCGAGTGGTTGAAGTTTAGCTTCGGGCTTTGGTCTAACCACAGTCTTCTTTCCACCTGCGCCCTCACTTCAACTCTTTCCTGCCAGAGTCGATTCTATACATTCTATTCATGTTGATTCCACATCTAACCTGTACTTATGTGTCAACTTCAAGCAAAATCTTCATCACTGCTTCCTTGTCGGCAGCTATTTGTGCTGGTTTTCGATGAAGGGATCGCGGCTTCCTTGACATGCTGATAAATTCGTCGCGGCTTTCACAAGTCTCAGCCTGAGCTGCTTCAAGGGCGCTACTGAACCCAGCGTGGTCTTCCAGAAGTTTGATGGTGGCCCCCGCACGAAGCAATATTTCCACACACTCTGTTCGGCCCCAGTATGAAGCCGCGTTTAGGGCGGTTCCATAGATCCCAGTGATCAAAGGCAAGTTCACATTGGCTTTGCGCTCGTCAACTAGATGTTTCACCACCTCCACGCATCCTGCTGCACATGCTGCCGCAAGCGCGCTTCCAAACTGTCCTGTGGAAGTCGCCAAGTCGATGTCGGCACCATGATCTACCAGACACGTCATCATTTGATTCCCACCAGCCCAAGCAGCAGCAATAAGTGCGCTGCCAAAGTATCCTTGAAGAGGCGCATTGACAAAAGCCCCTTTTGCTAAGAGGAGGACAGCAGCAGAGACATGCCCTCGATAAGCTGCATGAGCAAGGGCGCTTCCGTAAGATCCTCCAAGTGGCTGATTAACACTAGCTCCTTTTGAAATCAGAAGCTCGACCATATCAGTTTTCCACGCGACTACCGCAGCGGCAAGTGCGGTTGGGCAAATTGCTTCAGTTTCCAAATTTACCGTGGCACCGTTGTCTATCAGGTATTCAACTGCAAGAACTCGCCCGAAGAATGCCGCTTCAGCAAGTACACTTCCATAGCCCATTTCCCCTGTGACTTGGTATCTCATATCAGGATCTGCCCCTCTTTCCACCAAAAACTGGGTCATAGAAAGTCCAAAAGACGTGGCAGCAGCCAAGGCGTGATTGTATAGTCCTTGAATTTGGCGATTAACATTGGCACCATTTTCAATGAGATATTCAGCAATCGCCAGCTGGACTTTGATTGCAGCGGCAGAAAGGGCACTTCCATAATAATTATATGTCATGTCTCGCGTTATTGGCATGTCGATGGCAGCTCCCTCTTGCACTAAAAGCTTTACCATGTCAAGATCCTTGGAGCATGCTGCGGTAATGAGGGCGCTTGCCATAGTACCGTCAAGTTCCATGTTGACATCGGCTCCTTTTTTGATCAAGAGCTTGGTCACGTCGAAATTGAGCTCTGATACTGCAAGCGAAAGAGCGCTTCCGAACTCACCTTGCAGTTTCATATCAACAGTGGCCCCGTTGTCGATGAGAAGTTCAATCATTGGAATATGGCCAAAACACACCGCAGTAGCAAGAGCACTCTTGTAATCTCCTTCTAGTGGTTCGTCAACAGTGGCTCCATTCTCAATCAGGAGCCTCGCCATTTCAAGGTCGCCAGTTGATGCTGCAATGGAGAGAGCGCTTCCAAACTGTCCTTCGTGGGGTCTAAATCCCCCCCATCTCTGGCTGATAATATCCCATTGAAGAGTCATGTCAACGCTAGCTCCCCTCTGAATCAACAGCCTGGCTGTTTCAAAATGTCCATAGTATGCTGCGGTGCCAAGGGCAGTGAATCTCATTCCGTGATGGCCAAGATCAGCCTTTCGGTCCAAGAGTTTTTCACAGATTGGGTTACAGCCAGCCCTGGCGGCGACAATCAGAGGAGTTTCTTCTTTTGAATTCTGGTACGGGAGAAACATTTCATCTCTATTCCACCAGTCCTTCAGCGTGGTGTGAAAGGAAAAGCGACAGATTGCAAGAATGGGCCTAGTCGGTGGGCTTATGTAGTCAAGAGTGACGGCGTCCGTAAAGATCGCCGTGTCCCGCGAAAGCCACACATCCTTTGAGACATCCTCAAACCATGCCCGATAAGCAGTTCCACATTTAGTTGGTGACTTCAAAAATGCCTTGAGCAAAGTGTTCAAGGGATAGTCGAACTCTTCCGACGTCAATGCGAATTGCTCGTGGTGTTGGATATGGCGCATCCAGTGGTGTCTGGAATAGAAGTGGAACGGGTAATCTCTTGACAATATCGTGGGATCCTCCTGCAGGCTCAGGTCCTCATCGGATGAGATCGATGAGTCGTCTGCCTTGGCAACGGAGACAGTCTCGGGCGCCGGCTCTCCATAAACAAGCATCAGGAATCGTAGACATGACTTCGCAGCGTAGCAATGCGCGTTTCGCGAGTTCCATAATTCCCTCTGGATATACTCCAAGACAGAAGCATGACAAAATCGAAGTCGGTTCGATGGCTCATCCAGAACCAGAAGGCTCTTACACAGGCTCAGCAATGTGTTGGTGTCAATCACTTCTTCGAGCTCGTCATGATTTGCATCGTGACGAATTGCGGCCAAGAGCTGTTCGCTTGACATCGGGCCGTAAGAGCACATCACCCATATGAAGGCACGATCCACGACCGTTTTCTGAACTTCATCAGCGGAGATTTGTTCGTAGATCTCCTTATAAGTGCGAGTGAGGCCTTGGGGCATTTTCTTGATACGACGAAGCATGGCTTTGCCAAGCTGCACATTGTGCAACTGGTCGATGTGTAGGGATGCCCACAAAAACCTGTCCAGTGATTAAAATGCGTTATTTCGGGGAAACCTTGAAAGAATATAAACTCACATTCCATCACTCTTCTCTACAAGAGCGTCAACAACATCTTCGCGGTACACCACGGTGTTTGAGTTCCAGCGAAGTTCACCAATCTTCTTATCGATAAAGCTCCTGATGTCGTCTTTCACATCAGGGACCTCTGTTTTGATAGTGAGCTCGTCACGGAAGCGCTCTTCGATGTCGGACTCTGGACGGGAAGAGACGAAGATCCTGACCAGACACTCTGATTGAGAGACAAGGGAGTCTATAAGGTCAAACAACTCTTTTCTGGGCTCTGCGCATTCGTCAAGTGCATCCAGAACTAGTGTTATTTGACTGTATTGGCTCAACGACTTGATGATTTGCTCTTTGCAGATCGAAATTGACGGATGGGTCATGTTCTTCGATTGGGCAAAGAGGTCCCGAACATCCTTTCGCATTTCATCCTCCTGCAGCTCATGAGCCGGGGTTGCCAGCTGGCGAAATATCGCACGAATCACATCACTGGGCTCTTCGAAGTTTTGCCCACTTCTTTGGCAGTAGTAAAAGGCTAGCCCCTCGCCCGGGTGTAAATTCGCACGCAGATGATCAATCACCCTTGCCGTCAGAAACCTTTTTCCAGTACCAGCTGTAAAGGTCAATGGGAGTGATCTCAAGCGGCCATTTAGAGGTGACGACTTACGCGAACCTTGCAACCAGATCACTTTTGGTGATGAGCTTTGCTCCCAACAATTGAAAGTCGGATTTTCCAGTAGCCAATCACACGTCTCGGGTGTCCGAGCCTCCGCTTTGATATTATGTCGGTCAAGCGCCCTATAAGGTGAGATCCATTCGAGGATGTCCATGACTTCTTGGTTGTCGAGTCGCTCAAAAAGTTCATCAAAGCGTTGCTCAATGACCGAACTGAACATAGAGAACTTTCTCAAGAATTCCATGACACTTGCATCAATGTCGTCTCCAATCATACTTTGGCAATCCATGACAATTTCGCGCAAATTGGCACGACACGTTTCCAAATTCGAGATCTCATTTTGTGCTTTCGACGGATTCAGGAATGCATTCACCAGGCGGCGACCTGTGCGTTTATCGCACTGCCGCAGCGCATAGATCATGAGTCTCAGTGATGCAGTGTATAATTTGAATAGAGCCGATCGGAAATCCAGCCAAAGATCGCTGTGCTGATCTTTGATCTTTTCGCGAAACATCTTTTCGTAAGTCGTTCCGCACCGGGTAGTCCGAACCAGAATGTCTGCAGTCATGAGTACGGCAGCAGTCTCTTCATCTGCGTCGATTGGAACCTAAATCGATTGAGACGAGTGGCTAATTCGATATTGCGCTCGACATACCTGCATTAAGCCTTTCACCAGCGGCCAGACAATACTAGCGGGCTGAGGCATGAGTGGGACGCCGACATCTCCGACAATTGTCAGACATGTAATGACTCTCTCTGTGTAGTCTCTGGGGACAATTTTTCGCCCATAAAAATCAAAACTCCAGATTCTATCTGACAATGCTTCCTGCTTTGCCCGAGTAACCGCGATGAGATCTTCAAAATCCGTAGCTTTGAAGCTCGGAGCCTGGCGCTGGTCACTAGCTGTCGCTTGGCCCGGCGCCAAGAAAGCTTCAAGACGTCCTTGTTCCTCCTGAGTGAGTTCGTCAAAGCTCAATTGCCACAGGTCTTCCGTTTCACCCCCTTCCGAGTGCAAGTTGTTCCTCAAGGCTTCGTCGGCGTCGGCGTCGGCGCCGACGTTGGGTATCTCTAGAGTGGTTTCAGGGGATGTCGGCAGATCATGGGGGGATGTGGGGTGCGGTGTGGCCCCCACCCCAGGACCGGATAGGGACCCCTCCCTCTCGTCTGTGCCTCCGGCTCCGGGTGGGGGTGTCAAATCAATTGTTTCCGCCCGCGTTTTTCTCGCATCTGTAAGAGCGGGAGCACAGGAGGGTGAAGCCCCTGTGGACCCTGGACCCTGGAGGCTTTCTTTTCGTCTCACATTGGAAGAGCCATCTTGGGCTGTATCACTACCGTCTATTGCAGGTGGTTTCGTCTGGTTCTGTGTTGGTCTGCTGTCACTCTCGCCGTTTTTCTGGCGTGGAGATTCTTCCCCTTTCCATCTCTTCAAAAGTCGGCGAATCCCCATCTCTGAGCAGGTTCTCAAATCCGCGTGTTTAGGAGTGAGGTCATGGAAACGTGGGATCGTGAAAGTTTCCCATCGGCGACACGTTGCAATGTCATGGGGCTCTGGATCGACCATATCTCGGTCAAGAGAGAGCCCGGGTGTTTCAAAGGCGAGCCCAACAGCCTTGGCAATGAAGGCCGCCAATGAAGATCTCGTCTCAGCCGCTCAGCATGCAAACACCACCTGTGGGGCTCGGCCCCCGGTTCTCTGGCGCGACGACAGCGCGTCGCCAATCCCCTGCTCCGAACACCCAAATCCCAGTGCGTTGGTCTTGGGCTTCTGATTCAAGTTGTTCAACGGATAGACAGTGTTGTACAAAGTCAAGATCACATCGATTATCTCACAGAATCCCAGGACGCTCCAGGGGTTTCGGGCACTACTGGGCTCGGTGTCGAAGGTGAAGAAAAACGCAAATTCTTCTGGAACGCGATATATATGCATATATACGTACCGAGGTTTCCCCGGCGGGTGGGGATTTCCTACTTGGGCTGCCGCCGCCTTAATGAGGGTGCTTGTGACGCAGCAAGTCAGGAGAATCTGGTCCATTCAGCTAAGATCTTGGAGGGAAAGAAAAGAAAGAGAAGTGAGAGTGTAGCAAAACTATCTATCCAGATGATAGCTGGCCTCAGGCCTGCTCTCTCCCAACCAGGTATTCTGCTCTCTGCCCTCTGCCCTTAGTTCTCCGTCCTAGCTCAGGTTTGCTTGCGAAATCTCAAGGACGGTTATTTATGTAATTCTGCTTGCACCCATTCATCCTGTTCGAGTTCCATAGCAGAGCTTCGCTTTTCTGGCTCCCATTGTAGCATTTTTCGCACTAGGCGGAGAAACATTTCTTTTTCCTCTCCCTCGAGACTAGTCTCTCTTTGCTCGAGCGGGATGTGTTCTCCCACCAATTCTCCGGCGCACAAGTCACCTAAGATAGCATAACTAGTCAATAACTGACACTTTTTATAGATAGAGAAAGAATGGATGAATTACCTTCTTGTGAAAAGAACTTTTGAGTCAGATTGCCTCGGGTAAGTAAACTCGGCGGTGGCGGACCGAGTAGCTGTATCATTTCGGCAAGATGAGCCCGACTTCTGTAGGTCTGAACCTCTGGGTCCTGGCCGCTAAACAGCGACCCCCCTTCGAAAAGGTTCCAAATCTGACAACGTAAGCCTAGACTCTTTTTGTATCAGAGGCATCTGATTTCTTACCACGCATCCCACGTTCCATATATCAGCCCTATATGACCATGGAGCTTGCAAGATCACTTCCGGTGCTCGATAGATATCCGGCTGGATGTCTCCCGAGTGCTCTTCGTCACCCATCACGGCCGAGCCAAAATCGCAGAGGATAGGCGCGCCTAGGTTTTTAGGCATTCTGAGCTCGCGGGAGGTATATATTGTTCTTCCATTTGACTCCTTCCTAGCACAGGGGTGCTGCATCTCATTGTTTTCAAAATCACTGAAAACGGAATCATCAGCAATGCCGAACATAATGTTGTCTGCTTTGATATCTGATATATTGATAAGCAAATGATCGAGCTCGAAACCAAGCAGAGGAAACCGCACCAGTATGGATGATCTTGCATTCTGTATGCAGATAGTCTAATGCAAGAAATAGACGATGAAGTGTCACTGCCAAGATTGGTGTAGGTAGTCTCTGTGCCGGGTTGCGGAATAGAAAATCCAACACACTCTCCCACAATGGAGGATGCACGAGACATCGATGTTTGTCTTCAGGCCCGCTGATATCAAAGGAGTCCAGCAAGGATCTGACGTACTTGCGACCTGGATGTTTCTGGGGAGCCCCTTCGATACGTTTGTATATCTTCAGTTCGTCGTCCAGTTGCTGCCCCATCGATGTGGACTTTATGAAAATCTTGAGAGTGACATAGCGACGATAGCTGTATTTTTAGTTAGTGAAGGAGCTGGGGAATGAAAATGCGAAGTTGCCAGTGTCTTCTTACTCCATGTCACGTGCAAGCCAGACGGTTGAACTGGCGCCAAATCCCAATTTTCCTACAACTTGGTACCGGTCCTTGAGGATTTCCCCTATTCGAGTAGGATAATACCGACCGGCAATATAGCCTGGAATGGTTTCCTCTTCAATTGCCTGGCTTGTTGATAGCTGAATGAAATTCGGATTGTTGAAGTTGAGAGGTGTCCATCTTCGTCCGAGCCGGGGCAAGGACTGAAGAAAAGACGTCAACATTTCCAAGACAAGAGCCAGTTGTTTTCTTGGGGTTTTTTTGCGCTTTTGCAGGGCCTTGTGCTTTTTGAATCTTTCGAAATATGGTTGGCGTGAATATCAACAATGCGCAGGTGGGTTTAATGGGTGACAGAAGATGGCCAGCCCCATGATCTCAGACGGAGACCGACATGTCAGGTGATCGACCGCCTCCCACCTTCGAACGCGAAATGTAGAGCTACCAACAAGCGCTAACTTTATGGATCGTTATTTTTAGGATGATTCATATGGATACTTTTTCATGGCAATGCTGGAATGACTACTCGTAGTCAATGCTTTCGACTGCATACGAGTAGCTAAGCGCTCGGCTCGGATATCATGGACGCGGAGCCTTCCACGGCCCACATCAAACTAGGCCCATCTTGGTTAAACAGCAGGGAAGGGAGTATTTCGGTTGGGGATTTACGCCCGCGGAAAGGGGCCGTGATGAACTTGCATATCCTACCCTAATCAGCTCCACTTTTAAGTACTAGCAAAATCGCTGGTCGATATCCAATGAACTAAATAGGTCAAGCAATAGCTGGCCATGCTCGTATCACCACGCTAGACTATGTAGATGGCGAGCTAGACCCTGAAAATGATCTCTGGTTACCCCGATCACCATCCGATAGCAGATATGCCGTTGTCGACCGGCGAACTTTGAGTGCCCTGGGGAGATGTCAGGTTTTACTCCACTGGTATCGCCCACCTCAGGGCAAACTCAAACGACCCTTCTTGAAACTATTTACCGCCGAAAAGTCTCATCAACGGCTAAATTCTCCTAGCTCGGATACACCCAGAAGCAAATGAAATGGTCTCAGGGACTCCATGAGGAACCCTCGTTTTAGATTTTTGAGATATCGGAAACACCAGTGACTTCTTTGGGCCAGAAATAAACCCCTCTATCCCCAATTCTCCTAGAATTGACCTCTATTCCACATCACAAACCATGAAGGACCGGCGCTAATTGAACTCCGGTACGTAATTGGCAGGATTAAGGTGATATGAGCGACTACTGATATACTTCGCAAGCGCCCAGTCCATAGCCAAGTGGAAGATGGCAGCATAAATAATTGCCATTCTTCCCGCGCATGTTCATCACTGCATCATTCCCATTCATTCTTACTGTGGTTATCTATTCTTGTTCGATTCACCCCTACTACAAGGTGTCCTTGGCTGCCATCAAAAACCACCATGGCCAGAGCTTTCTCTACCGCCCGTCAAAACTTGACCAGATGGTTAGGTTACAACAAGGAATTACTCCCCACGGATTGGAGGGCGGCCGCGGAGCGTTATGAGACAGGAGGTGCAGTCAAGGTAAGTGTCCCTTGAACTTGCTGGGCTCAGAGAGCTTTTACTAAAAACATTGTAGAAAGTTGGAGAAATTGAGTCCATCGAAATTCTGTAAGTACGCCAGCGATTTCTTTTCGACTGTCCACGGGTCCACGGGTGGGTTCCTGGCTTACAAATAATTTTTAAAGGCATCGCAATGATGGCAGTAGCCCCATTCACCAGTCTCATTTCAACCGCGCTGATAAGGCGAATATCATCAGTGCTCGAATCAAGCCTGTCGGCGGTCGATCTCGCACCCATCATATTTATATAGATGGTACAGGAACCCTGAGAAAAGGTGATATTCGGGAGTATTCAACAACTTCCACACGGACGACTGAACAAAGCGCGGAACCTGAGATCTGAGCTAGATGCGGCCTGCTGCTCATGAACAATACACTGGCGTGTTATCGAGGGCAATGTGACTGACATGGACTGGCATAGATGCAATATTGCCTACTTGTTTGTGAAACTTGAAAGGCAGCCATACGGCGATCCTTATCAATCCTTGTATATCTCTATCATGTGTTCTAGTTCACCTGTATGAACCCTTTGCTTCTCCCAGAGAAGTTCTGTGCAAACTGTCTGTCGCCTCTGCAAGTGGCTACGCAATATTCTGTTCTTCCCTGGGCTTCACCCATAAATAACTTTCTTCCGCGGACCACGGTAAGTCTTTCCTCGTAGGGGTAGATTGCGTATCATCTAGTTCGGTGTTTGAGCTTGGATAGTCGTAGGAGATGGCCAGTCTTGACCCGGAATGGATCTTGATATAGAGGGGGCATCTGCGTTGGCATGCATAGAAACGCAGTGTGATAGAGTGCCCTCAAACAGCCAAGAAAGGAACTATAGCTGGTCTTCAACTGAAAGGGCCAACAATTGGGCATGAGCGGCAGAGAATGGAACGCTCTTTCCACGGCCAGGCCTCTGAGCGCCCTGATCCGCTCACTGGGCATCGGCTGAGCGTAAGTCTGAGCGGCCTGAGCTATATCAATAAAATGCAACATGCTAGTCACATCATGTGCGGCTTTTCTCTAGAGTTCCCCCATTGTCCCATAAAAAAAAAGTTGCGTCGTCAATGCGACCGTAGGTGAGGTGGAATAACAGACAAATAGTAGTAAGAAGAGAGTAGCAGACAACCAGAATATCGAGAAAGCAGCACCGGAATAGGTATATTATTGCGATAGCGGGGAGAAAAGGCATACGGCATAACATATAAGGATCATCCTTGCAAACATACAAAGCAGGATGATTAGGAAACAAAAAGATAAGAAGAGAAAATTGAGCACGAAAAGAAAGGAACGTGACCTGGGATCCAACCATGATCAATGAGAAGGAGGCTTGGCGGGAGCGTAGGGTGTGTGTCTGTCGCTGTGTTTTTGGCAGCGTCATCGTCGGCGTTGCGCAGCCGTGGGGTGGGTGACACATTCCTCTCCGTTCCTTCGTTTCAGGGCATCTATCACACGCACACACACACGCACACACACACGCACACACACACGCACACACACACGCACGCGCGCGTTGTAGAGGGCGTGCTCAATTTACCTCGAGAGCAAACAGCGGCAAGAGGTGAGCACTAAAATGGAAAGGGAAAGGTATTGAGTGCCAGAAATTATCCGGTACATATGCCTTGCCACAATGTATAGATGTGGCTTTAGGAAGAACTTTAGAATGCAATTCTTCAACAGCTTGAGAATTGAACACACAGCCCTGAGGGGATGTTACTCTACCTCTACTTGATCCAAAGCAATCACTACCTCCTCAGCGCCTTCACAACATCGGCTGTACTCAACGCATCAGCGAATTCACCATCCAGACTAGCCACAGACACCCTGTGAATGGTTTCCGAGTCGATCCCAGCCTTGCCGAACGTGGCGGTCGCGTCGTCAACCAAGATAATTCGGCCTTTCTCGACATCCAACTGATTTTCATGAGTTCCATCCGATCGCAAGCGCACAGGGCCATCGGGATACCGATCTACGACCCCCAAATTAGCTGCCATGCGGGTCGTCGTGGAGACGCAATGATCGGTCGTCAATCCGGCAATAATTAGCTGTCGGAAGCCCTTTTGTCGCAGATGACCTTCCAGCCCTGTCCCGATGAATCCGGAGTTGACGGTTTTCCAGAACACGGGCTCCGATCCGTCTGGAGCAGGGGTGGCGAATTCAAGTGGGAGAATTCCCTGCTCCGGGTTGGAAGGATGGAAAGGTGAGCCTGGGGAAGTGGAGGAGTGGAACACATGAATCACTTCCATCAATGTCGAAGCTGATGATCTTGCAGTTCGGAAAGCGGATAGTAGCGCTTCAATGTTGGCTTCATATTGTGGATTGGAGCGTGTTGTTCCCCAGTGGGAAACCGTGGATGGGTTGGTGAAGCCCCATTGATTGTCGATCAGAATGAGAGCGGTGGGAAGAGATAGATCCAATGCCATCTTGACGATTGCTGTTTCTTGTTGGGTGTGCAAATGATGGTTGAGGTGATGTTTTTCAACGGCTCTTTACCCGTGACTCACAACTACATTGGTAAGCTCCCGAGCGTCACAGGGAAAATATAGCATCAATCACCTGATTAGCAAGACTACATTAGGCGTGCACCTTTTTAGCTGAGCGTTCAAAATCGGTGCTATTTTTTCCAACACCGAGTCCTCGGCTACAACACTTTCCATATTTCAGTGAAATTCAACAACAATTTCATCTAAAATGCGACATCTAATCGAACGGTTTTCGTTCATTCAAACGATCAATTGCCGATACTCCCACATCTGACTGTTTTTCAAAGGCCCTTAAGAATCTTCGGGATCAGACCCTCATCGAACTTCCACAGTTGCGTTTGGAAGTTCGCAGCGAATGCACCCCCGGTCCACCACGTCGATCGAGCACCCTGGAGCTTATACAAATCCTGGAAGAAGCCTTCTTTCACTTGTTCCACGGTGACCCGGGCATGCATGGCACCGTGTGTGGCAAAGGTGGCCCAACTGAGCTCTTGATACTCGTTATAACCGGACAAGCGACCGGCCTTCAGTAAGGCATTGAAGCTATCCTGGCTCAGGGCCTTGGCCTCATCAGCCGTCGTGGTGGTGTTACCGATAACCATCACGCGGAACAGGTTGTTTAGTCCGGTGTATTGAAAGCTTGCTACCATAGGATCCTCTTGATAGACGAGGGTGTTATCTGGTGCTGCGGATGATGGAAGGTTGAAGTAGTAGTAGCTGCTGTTGAAGACTTTGTTGTCAACCAAGCCAGCGTACTCGTTGGAGTAGGTGAGCTTAGATAATGTCTTGGATTCGAAGGAGCTCAGGTCCAGGGGCTTCACATTCTCGTCGGTAGGCTCAATTGCAACGAGAAGACGACGAGCATGTATGACAGTATCTTTTTTCGTCTTGTGGTTGCGAACGGTGAGAGTGACACCCTTTTCAGTGCGATGACTGTTGACAACAGTGCTGGAGTACAGAACGTTGTCTCCCAGGTCTTTCGCAACAGCATTGTAGAGCGCCTGATTTCCACCCGTGGTAGGCGTGAACAACCCCATTTGACCAGTCAAGGCACGCGCCATATCCCAACCAAAGCTCTGCAGCGCGAACATAGTGGCGACTTCACTCATGTTACCGACTCCGAGGCCGGTGGATGAGTAGATGATTGGAGCGCCATCCTCAAGACCATATTTTGTCAGGAATTTGCCGAATGGAATCAAAAAGTCCTCCGGAATGTCGCTGGGCTCTGGGAAATTCCAATACCCGGGGAATAGCATTGATTCCCATGGCTCGATGACTTTCAAGAACTTGGCGATCGCTGCGATCTGCTTTGCCGACGAGGGGGGCTGGAACTCGACCTTGTCACCAGTCCTGAAATCGATGTATTCGGTGATCAAGGAAGGGCTTGCTGCGCCGCTTCCAATTGAAATATGAAAGCGGGCAAAGAAATCTGTCGCTCCGCTCACATTGAGGAAGCCTTGAACCCCATAGTCGAATGTATTTCCAGTTTTCTTGTCGATATATGTGTCCACCATACCACCCTACCCAATGAAAACTGATTAATATATTACCTAACAAGTATTTCAGCCTTGCGGCCCTGGATTGCGCATAGTATCACTGGGAGGGACACACCAAGATATCTTGTTTCTCAATCAGAGCGATACTTTTGTGGAAATCGTCGCGTATGCGGACAGCCGCATATGCACCGGAAGCGCCTCCTCCGATTACGGCGACATCACGGTAGATAATATCTGACAGGCTCTTAGCACTGCAAAATGGCAATATGGTCCCAATTGCGACGGCAATAAATGCAAGAGATCGCATTATGGCAGGTTGAGTACGAAAAACGCTGGCAGTCAGCATGAATAAAATATTTGCATCTAAAAAGCGGTGCGGAAACCTGCAGTTTTGATCTTGCATGCCAGTCTTGCCCTCGTATTCGGTTTGAAGGAAAGCTTCGCCGAACGCATCACGCCAACTCAAGAGGGTTTAGCGGTCGATGGGCTAGTAACCACTCTTATTCACGCGGGCGGGGTTGGGGTGTAGGCATTGGCCCGAATGTTTTGCTGACAGATGTACTGAAACACCGATTCCAGCCTTATGAGAATGCCCAATATCTCGGCTGATGCAGATTGGTGGACTCATTGTTGCTGACTTGAGCGTAATTTAAAGAAGCCGGGGGGCCAGATCAAAATGGGACGCGGGACGTGTTGACGATGTGTTGTTCAACCATCATGCCATGAAGCCCGTGAAAACTTTGGAACTACCTAAGCATATTTGAGCTCGAGGTCAATTAGAACTGAAATTGTTCAGATAAAATCTGCAAGTGGTACCATGGAATCATGCAAACATCGTATAGTATTTCCGCTCGCCAATAAATATCAATAACTGTGTTGCAATTTTTTATCTTTTCTATGTAATAAATTCAAGGGTCCTCAAAAAAGCTCGTAACGGTTGTCACTCAGACAGATGACCACTCCTGCGTGAGTGGTGATAGATCTGAGAGTGAGGGTGGAGTGATCCCCAACCCATGCCCGAATATATCCTGACACTGATGATGATGATAATGGTTCCTCCTTGAGTTTGGCTCTTCTGCGTCGTCTAGGGGCGTAGTTGATTGGTGATTCACCGCCGATGAAGATGAATGTGTCGTAAAGGGTGGCTCCGAAGAAGCAGCCACTTATAGTAGCCACCCCGCCACCCCAGAACCACCAAGCATCACGGACAGTGAATGTTTCACCTCCGTATCCAGCCATGAGCGCGACAAGCCGTGGGCCAAAGTCGCGGACAGGGTTCAAAATTCTAGGATGCAGTTAGAATCATCATTCAAATAAAGGAATAAACCCACTTACCCTCCTGTGTTGAATCCAAGACAGATACACAGCACATAGATCACCAATCCAATGACGAAAGAGTGCATACCCGCACCAGGTGGAGCGTTGCTATCGTCGCCCATTGCAAAAATGACACAAACTAGGATGGCATCCGCCAAGAATTCCGTGAAGAATGCAGTCACAGAACTCACGTGGCTCAAGGGTTCAGTATAGAAACCAAGGCCAGATGTGCCAGCCGACGCGGAAGGAGAAAAGGCGATGATGGAGTCTCGATATATGCAATACGCGAGACCTGCGGCCGTAAGACCCCCGAGCACTTGGGCTATGATATAAAAGCAGCATCTCCGGCCAGGGAATCCACGGAAGATCCAGAGTGCAATGGAGATTCCAGGATTCAGATGAGCACCTGAGACACCACCAGCAAGGTAAATCCCGATCATGGATCCGAGACCCCAAGACCAGTGCTCTGAGAGCTTGGTTCCGGCGTTCGTCCCGCCAGTTGAAATGGCGAGAGTTCCGGTTAATCCAACAAAGATAGCAATGGTAGTCTGGATATTTTGTCAGAGATTGCATTACTTGACTGCGGGTTTCTCCTTACTGCTAGCCATTCGGCGAATGGTTCTTTCAAATAATTCCGAATCCTGACCCAATTGTTCAAGAACTCTTCTTCCTCCGGCCGCCCCATCTGATCCTCGTAGATGGGACCATTGCCACCACCCACTTCACTTTCCATCGGGCGTAGAAGCCCATCTGGCTGAGTCCCGTACACGGTATTTTCTTGTGGCAGGTCCTGCTGGGCTGCAGAGGCATATGTGGGAGGATGTTGCGGCAGGGGCGTGTTTGTATGAGTGGTATGACTGGTAGCGTTTGATCGGGATCTCGCAAGGCCTGGTGTTGTGCCAAGTTCCGGTGCCGGTTCTGCTTCACCACGAGGTTGTGTGTCGTATGCCTTTTGCTGGGTGTCTCCGTCCCGACGCATCCCCGGCCTCACAACTCGTGGAAGAGGCTTTGCCAAGCCCCATACTGGCTGTTCGTTGTTTTTGCCATAGCGAGGGTTCATTGATTGATATTCTGGGTCTTGGTAGACAGGGCCCTGGGCTGGTTGGGCTTCCATTCTGCCTGGGCCAGCTAATGAGTGTGATGGTGTCTGTTGAACCCGATTTTGACTTGCGAGCCTCCCATCTGCGGCTGGATTCGGTGAGGGCTGAGGCGCGTAGTAGAAACTTCCCGATGCTGTGGGCTGTCGATTCATGGCACTTCTCGGGGAGACCGGGGTGGAGCGTTGCTCCTGTCGTGGTGCTGACTGACTATGTTGGATTGCCCCGAGTCGTGGGCGGTTATCGTGTTGGTCCGGCGACTGTGTTTTTGCAGAGTTAGGTGACTGGCGTAAAGTCTCACCGGAAGATTCGGAGTTAGGACTCCCATCTCGCTCTTTGATCGGATGGAGCGAAGGCTCTGGGGGTTTTTGAGATTGCTCTCCCATTTTGAAGAGTGATCCTGCACGATTAGAGTCGCGGGCTGGTATCAATTGAAGAAAAAAATGCCAAAGCAATTCGTGCGGTCTTATAGCTGTGTCTCATACTCGGGCAAACCCATGAAAAATGTAATCCTCCAACCACCATAGTTGCTGAGCCGGATCCACGCCCGGCCAATTGATGTTGCTCCTGTCATGATACCAGTGATCGGCGGCAGAGATAGCCTACTTCACCAAGATCGAGAATCCTCCGAAGAAAGATGTATCCATCGGTTCGACAAGCCGAACCAAACAAATTTAGGCTTCGGAAAGGGCCCCATCTTCCTGCGGGCCCAGAGCCCAATTTCCATGGTTGCAGAGTTGCCACCAGGCCTGATCCGAGCTGTCGTGCTGTTTCCGCCAATCAAAGGCTCGGGTTCCTGTTTTGACGACCCGCCAATCAGAGGTCTCCTGAGAGCCTCGCGAATATTCGACGGGCTTCTCGCGATGAAATCATCTGTTGACTTTGCAATACATTATTACAATCCGTGATTTTAACTGCTTACAACATCTCTAGATCATATGGACTCATTTTACTCATGCATCGTGTCATCGTCGATTCAATGCTCGCTATATCTGGAAAACCACCAATTCTAATGCCACGCTGAATCCAGCGCCTGTATCTCAAGCTTAACATCCTGAGTCACTCCATCCACCGACACAAGGCGCGCTTCAGTCGCATCTTGGTCAGGGAATATCTGCGCTGTCAAAGCGACCTCCCCTTGACCACCCAAGACCTCGACACTCGACCAATCAACAAAGGCTTGCAAGGTAACACGTCCATCCGCACCAGCTTTCAGGGGTGCGTGGTACAAGCTTGCGAAAGTGTCGTCAAAAGAGACGTCGCCTGATCTTTGTCGATCTACAAACACCTCCTTGCTTGTGAAGTTGTATCCGATGAGAGTCTCTTGGTCGAAGGCAGAATTTGCCCGCACGGAGATTGCAAATGCAGATGCTCGAGAATCATCGGAATTATGATGTTCAAAGCTAAGGTCAATCTTGAATGCCTTGCCCGGGGATTCAAGGCTAGTTGATCCTTCTGGAACTGACTCCCAGGATTGGTGCGAGCTCTTGCGGTCGGCCACGCTTTGCCAACTGTCTTGCGGCTGCTGGAGAAGAGTGATTTTTCCATCGATATTCTTCAGAGATAGCTGACGGGGAACCGACATAGCGCTGCGCCAGGGGTCTGTTGGGATCTCGGCGCCGTATTGCCAGTTGTTCATCCAAGCGATTTGAACAACGTCTCCCTTGGGAAGTCCGTTGTAACTGGCAGCAGCATAGAAGTCAGGACCCCAATCCATCCAATTGGAGGTCCCATTCCCTGGATACACGCTATTGTCATCGGCCTTGAAAGTCGTTCCATCGAAATCGCCAATGAAGTACTGCGTGCCCGAGCCGACCGTACCAGGTGGCCCACCGGGGTTCAATCCCAAGACCATAACCCATTTCTTGGTCGCAGGCTCATCCTGGACGGGGAGTTGGAAGAGATTAGGACACTCCCATACACCACCGACAGCGTTGTAGGGACCGAATTCGCTGAGAAGAGACCACTGTTTCAAATTGTCGGAACTCCAGATCGCGAGTTTGTGGATTGACGCCAACGCAGTGACCGCGATCCATTTTTGGGTGTCGTCATGCCAGAAAACGAATGGATCGCGGAAATTCTTGAATTCTTCTTCATACCCAGCTGGTGGGTTATGAATGACGGGGTTTTCGGCGTCATATGTTGTCCAGGTCTCGCCTTCGTCCAGACTATAGGCAATTGATTGGGATTGTTGTTCTTCACGCACATTTTTGCCACTAGGTAGGTCTTGTTCAATGGGATACTTCATGCAAGTCAAATTGTCAGTATTTTGCCTCACTAAAATTGGGTTCCAAACATACCATGGAAGTATACATCGCGACTAATGGGACCTTCCCATCGACTCCGAAGCCACTTGTATTGTTCACATCTGCGACTGCACTCCCAGTGAAGTACATCTCGGTGACTGTGTCGGGGTATCCGCGTGCAAGCAGAGCAACGGGACGCTCGTCCCAGTGCGTCAAGTCTTTACTTGTCGCATGGCCCCATGACATATTTCCCCATACTGCACTTGCGGGATTATATTGGAAAAACAGATGATATGTCCCATCATGATATAAAAGTCCGCTGGGGTCATTCATCCAATTCTTGCTCGGGGAGAAATGGTACTGGGGACGGTAAGGCTCAGTATAGTCCAAGGCGGACGCCGTCCCAGCAAGAAGACCAAGTGCCGCGAAGAGAATGCCCATCTTCCAATTTGTTTTTGCGCTTCTATACAGAACCCAACTTCCAGGAAACCTTTCTAATATTTATACCTCAGGGACTTCGGCAGTCTGATTTCCATACTCCCTCCCCACACCCCACGGGGAAACCGCCTGCCCAAACTTCGGGGAAATTATCGACTTTCGCCCCACATTCTGGAGAGCGCAGCAAAACAATCGGCACGCCCGGCGCCAAGTCGCTGAAACTCGGCGATAATCTCGGTGTCCAAGACATTTTCTGTCTGATTCGGGCCGTAGTCTGTCTTCACCCCGCATAAATCGCGGGGCGCGAGTAACTTATGATGTTATGGTCCCTCCCAAGTCCGATATAGGGCCTTGGGACAGTGGAGGTATGATGAAATGAGAGATTTATGATTAAACAATCTTAACTTTGGAGTGGTCAAAAACAGATCTTTCATTCGCTGGGTAGATTATAGCGGCTACTAGATGCACGCCGGAAGTAAGGGAATGCGCGAATATCCACCAAGTCAGACACTCTCGGCTATTCTTTGATATTAGAGGTCACGACCTGACCGTAATTATTAGGCGCAACTCGGTTGCAAGGGACACCGGAAGTTTCCTGTCCGAGCATGTTTTTGCACTGATAAACTTCGTCCTGCAAGGTGGTTCCGTACATCGGTAATCCGAGTGTGCTATTCACCGACTCGAGTTGCACGTTCTCGAACTTGATACCCGGGCACGGGTGAACATCAGAGCAATAGATCGAGGCACCAACATTATACCGCGTGGTCGCTTTGATGTTCGACCATGTGATGTCCTGGATAGCCATCTTGGAGGTGTTGCAGTATTTACCATCTGCCTCGGTGTAGATACATTGCGAGATCTGGATTGGAAGAGCGACGTTTGTCATGTCGAAGTTGCGATATGTCACGTTCTTGATCACGCCGCTGCCGCCGCCACCGGCGTTGTTGTTCAAGTTGTTGTCGTTTGTGACTCCCTGCCAGGTCTTGATGAATGCACCTTCCATGCAGTTGATACAAGTGACGTCTTCGAAAGTGACATTTTCCACATAGTCAGGGAAATCGGGGTATTGGCCAACGGACCCGATGGTCATACCGAAATTATCGTAGCAAGTGACATTCTTGACGTGGAGATTGGTCGTGTTTCCCTTAGCTGCGATACAGTCGTCGCCATTCTGGACGATAGCATTCTCGACAAGGAGCGTGTCACTGTTCCATGAATCGTAGCCGTCGGTGTTGACAGTGCCCCATTGATCATTACTTGTCGCATTGACGTAAAGATTCGTGATCGAGACATTTTGACTGTATGTAACGAACGTAGCCCAGAACTGCGGTTGAACGATACGCAACCCATCGACAAGCAAATTCTTAGATTCAGTAAATGTGATACTGATCGGCCGTCCTGGCTGGTTGCTGTGATTCTCGTTCTGGGTATACCACGCTTGACCCTGTCCATTATACCAGCCACCATCAGCGCGGAAAGTGACGTTCTCGCCGCCGAAAAGCCAGGCTGTAGATTGGTTCTGGAAAACAACGTTATATGAGTGAGACAGCCAATAGGCGATGTCGGTCGAGAAACGAAGTTCTCCTTGTAGTAGGACGTCGCAGTTGGCCAGGTTTGTTGTATTCATGACCGACTGTATATTGAACACACCGTCGGTAAAAACGACATCGCCATTCTGGCCGCAAGTCGCAAAGGCTTGGTGAATTGAAGGTGCATCATCAACCTCCTGGCCATCGTGTCGCAACGATTCGGGGTAGAGATAGCACGTGGCCTTTTGGTTGGCCATCGTGGTGACCACATAACCGGCTGCCGTTGTGGCCAGCGCCACAACCTGTAACCATAACATCTTGGGGAATGTGTTCTCGAATTGCTAAAAACAACCAGAAAGAAAAAGCCTGGAATCTGTTGTGGCCTGTAGTGAAAGAAAGGAAAACAGAGAGAAGCGAAAGACCGAGCTTCTATACCACAAACTCAACCGGAAGGCACACTGTGCTGTCAAGGGCGAGTCCTGAGAATTCCAGAGAGCAGGAAATTTCTTTGTCGGAGCCCCCGGTCCAACCGCTTAAATAGTCTCGTCAGATTAAACCAAACACATGGTTGGATTTTCAACTCGCCGTAAACAAAGCCGCGTCGTTGCATCTTCCCCGCATCGGGAAACCCCTTTATCACGGCCTGAATCTCACGTGATGCCCTTGGCGGTATTGGCGCAAATGAATTGTCAAGTGAAGCATGGGGGTCTGAGAGTGTAGCAGATGATCGGCGTAAAGTGAAGGATCATAATGTGACGGGTGCGACGGTGTGGACTTCAGGAACCACAAGACCCACCCCCTGGGCCGCACACATAAGTATAATCAGGAACCGACCTCGGGATGCATTTGGCATGCATTGGGTATTGATGTCAGGAGATGACTTGCAGCTCGATGTTTGACTGCGGTACGGAGTCCGCAGTGCCTAGTACCGCTCCATAACAGTCACCAGGACACTCTTTCGCCCAGTGGTTGGAATCAGGTGGGAAACATATTATTTCTGAGGTGGTATACGGAGACCTGGAGTACGTTGTGCATTGTCCTCTAAGTAGCGAAACGAGGAGCGTAACGAGATTCCTGCCGATCTCGGCTGTCGGCAATATATATTGATGAAACCCTGAACTTTTATAAACTCTATAAGTAGAAAGTAACGTTGAAAGATAGTTCCAGGGAAGGTAGCCTATTCGATAGCGAAACGGCACACAGCATCAAGACTGGCGGCACTCAGACGGTTTTCTTGGAAGGCTTGGGGAACTTCCGAGTCCGACGACGAAGCATCTCCACTCGTTCCTCCATAGTCCAATTGACCTGGTCGCCGATGGGAATCAAACACTTGGCCAAATGCTCGTAATTCTTCCGAAGAAGATTGACGGTGATGAAGATATAGTCGACATTTCGGAATACGAGGGCATCTTCCTTCGCATAGCGGTCCTTCTGCTTGAGGAAGGCAACGGGGTGATCTCTCCAGTGACGGCGGGGGTTGAGATGGTGAGAGGTGTGGTAACCGTCGTTGAAAGAGAATCGATTACTCTGTGGTCTGTCAGTGGGGGTTTCGGCAATTGGGATGTATGAATCATCGTAGCTTACCGGGACATCAATCAGGGTGATACTGGACAGGTAGTCCGAGTCTGGGTCGGCCGGGTCCACGAAGGCATGCTGTCCCCAGTTGCCGACCATCAATCCCAAGCGCATGACGGTGAGGGGGAGGATGAAGACAAAGGTTGTGGCACGGGCATTAACATAATTGTACATCATGTACAAGGCGACATAGTTACCGATCTCCCAAAAGGCACACTTGGCAGCGTATTTGTACTGTCCTTTCCTGAAGAAGTACAACGGAAGCTCGAACCAAATGAAGAACACGAAGCGACCGACGTAGCAAAGGAAGTCTGGGACACTGTCGCGGTCATAGTACATGGTCGTGCTGAGGTCGTCCCCGCCATTGCCCTCCACATGGTGGTGCTTGATGTGGTGGTAGAAGTAAGAGTTCCAGGTGTGCCCGTGCATCGGGTCCAGGAGGTAGGGGAACAGGGTATCGATGAGCCAAAGTTTTGGGGTGAGCACTCCGTTCATGTGGATGTGCTGGTGCTTCATCAGGGTAAAAGCACCGCAATAGAATAATTGCATGAGCCAATGCAGGACACCGTGCAGATAAGAGAAACGGTAATACAGTAACGCGCCACTGGGGACGATTGTGGTGAAATACAGAATCAAATGTGTGACCATCACTACATCTGTCTGGAAGCGCACAATCCCTTTGGCCCAGTTGATGTACGGCGTCAGCACACATTTCTGGAAGGAGGCGGGTAGCTTAGCCCGCAGCAGTGGAGTATCCCAGAACTGGGAGATGGTGGGATCGAATTCGACATGCGTTGGATCATTGAGGTTGTGCAGTAACTGGACTGTTTCCTCTGCGCTCAGCTTGGGTTTGTCTCCCAAGGGCTTGGCGCTTGTGCCTGCATTCTTGTCAGGGTACGTCCACGATCCACCAGAAAGGGAATTACCATTTGCACTGGGACTAGGATCAACAATAGCATCGATCACCAGCTTGTCCTGATATGTCAGCTGGGGATCCGTATAAGTGGATGGGTCCATGTCTCCGAAGGGTCTAAGATTTGTGGTCAATCCTGCCAATTGTCATTCGATGGGCGGGGACGTACCCGCGTCGATCAGACGGGGATTCCTTAAATAGTTCTTTGTCTTCCAATGGATGAAGCGATTCGAATGTTGAATCCGAATAATCCTCAGCTCAGGTAGAAATCGAGACAACGCGTCAGGGGCGCGAAGAGATTTCGGGAGCCTTCCAACTGTGGGTCCGGGAAGGTGAGTTATGTCAAGTGCCAAAACAACATTTGGGGACTTTTGAACGATTGGAAGGAAAAAATATTGATATTCGAGTTTTTGACAGGAAGATCAGTGCGGATTACTTACGCACGAAATACTATAAAAATAGTAATGGTGCGTGGCGAACTAAACATTCCGATCTCGATATAGGGGTTGATCTAGAACGGTTGACATCGCCCCTGAATCAGGATCATAAGATGCAGCCTTTTATCTGAAGCATTCCACGAGAATCGCTTGATAACTCGATCAATGTTCAGGAATCATGATGAGGGCGATACTCCAATTATACGGATGATGCAATTCTGCATTCGGCAAAAATTTTTGACAAAGAGAGATCTGGCTCAATCCTCAACCTCAGATCGAGCACGGAGTAGAGCAAGGCGGACATTATTTGAAAGTCAAATGAGCGTGAAGCCAAGATCATACCTCCTGCGTGATCAACCCAGGTCGAACATCTGAAAATCTTTGAACTGCGCGCGAGGACCCAAGGATACGACCAGTTCGATCCAAAGCACTAACAAAAAGAGAACCTCGATAAGTGGCAGGAATGGGAATCTCAGTCTCAAAGTGAAGCTTCGGATATTGCCCCAAAAACACGGAGTCGTCTGCTCCTTCCTGCCCCTGGCCCCCCTTCAACGCCCACGCAGATACCTCCGTGGCCCCATTCCAACTGACGTACACTCGGTCTTCAATCACGGCAATATCAGGTTGAGTCGGAGGATCGGCAACCCAAGGGCTTTTCGAGATCCGATAGCTCCGAATCTCACCGCTATTGAACCACGTCTCTGGGCCCATATGAACATTGCAAAGCAGCGTTCCATTTGTGGAATATTCGGCCCAGTTCGCGTTCGGGCCAAATCCAAGTACCACATTGCCACTGTCCAAAATCTGCATTGAGCCGCTGTTATCAGTCAAGACTTTGTTCGGGCTGATGTATTCGTGATCGGGGTCGACCGTCATGTTCTCGGTGTCCAGGAGTAAAGTGATGCCGCGAGTTGGGCCTGTCACTGGCCGACCAGGGCAATTCCCATTGTCGAAGATGGATATCTTTTGCTGATTGTCGTGGAACCGGGCATGGTGTTGGCCGTTGAAACCGACTAGGCCTCCAGATAGGTCTTTGAACATATTGCCCTTTCCGCCGAGCTTCCAGATCACATCGCCGGATTGTCCGTCTACGTAAACGACGGAACTCATCATTCGGCAGGATATCAGGAAGTTGCCGAGCTTGTCTTTCTCGATGCTGTTGATGTGGAACAGGTCTGGAGCTGTTGCTTCGGTTCCCCCGTCGCTCGGCTGGAAGTGAAAGTATTCCTCGAATCTGAAATGCTCTGAGGCCCGCCACTCAAACACCACCTCTCCTGTTAGTATGTCAATCTCTTGGATACCCGATTCCAAGAGGAATTCCACCCCTAGGGGCGCGTTGAAGGATGTTTGATTGGTGGGGATGACACCATTGAAGACCAGAAGTGCCGTTCTGGAATCCGTCAAGGTCAGCTCGTGAGCGTCAAGATTCCATCCGTTTCCTACACGGATTTGATGAGCTTCTTCGTAGCGTGCGTTGATCTGATCGTCGAGTTAGAGACTCCACGCAGTAACACGGGCCATCAATCAAACCCACCAGCGCATAGTACGTTAAGTCCATAGCAAGTGCAACGATATAATTCTCACCCTGGGAGGTCTGTATGTCCCCCGTCACGTATCCGGTGGTATGCCAGACGAGATACCCTTCTGCGTCGAGGAGCATCACTCCCGGTATATTCACTTGTTTGCCCCAATACGGTACCACCGTATACAGCCGATCGTCAAGACATTCTTCACTTTTGTTGTGGTAATTCAAAATGGGACCAATGGCGGCGGACGAGTGATAAAGCTGATGTGGCCATCGGTCGAAGGCTCCTATGTCATATGGATGTGATTGATAGAGCGGCGGAATATCAGCCAGTGACCGCGATGCCGCGAGAAGCGTCACCAGTCGACGCAAAGTGCTTTTGCAAAACATAGCGAGACAGAAGTGAAAACAGTGTCGACTGTGCGAGGCCAAGACGAATCAGCCGCTGCTGCGTTTGGCGAACTTGGCCGAATTCACTTGTGGCGCCAAGGGTTGTTATCTGATCCATCTGATCCACCGAGATCGGCAGCGAGGATGCCGATCTTGATTCCTACAAGTGCTGACATTGTCAGATCAAGAACTTTCAGATACTATTCAAAGCAAACTATACAAACTATGCAGACTGTTAGTATTCCGACTTTCTCTGATTCTCATACCAGTACCAAAACCCCACTCCCACAACAAGACCCAGTGCCATCCATCGTATGATTGTGCGAATGGCATGCTGCATCGCGAGATCCATATGATTTTGGAACTCCACGGTCGGATATGCCTTTGGCCATGGCTCGTCTCGAACCGGCTCCTCAAGGAATTCGCACAGCTCCTTCCACCCACTTTTCCCCGTTTCAAACTCCAACAGTCTCTCCTTGGGGATAGCCGCACGAATCCGGTCATAGTGATCTAGATATGCCTGTTTCACAACTGACTCTTCATAGTTATTCCCGCAAAATATCTTCCATACCAACTCGGATTGTCGAAAAAGTGGTCCCAGGACTGTGGAGTCCATATGTTGCCAGACGCGGAAGAAGGGTATATGCATGAATTTGAAAACCGTCGCGTTGGCAGAGGTATACCATGATCCGACGTTGCGTGTTGTCAAAATAATTTTGGCATCGGGGTATGCGTGGGATAAATCTTCCCAAAATAGACAGGCCGGGATGTCTAGGATGGCATCGTATGACCCAATCAGACGGTCGAAGTCTTCGGTGTTGTATCGCGCTTTGGAGGGATTGTTGAGAAGATTACATTCCATTGCTTCGATCCAGAGATTGAAGTCGTGGGGAGGGTTCTTGAAGCATTCGGAGCCGTGATAGGGATTGTACCCCAGTTTACGGAGGGCTATGCACATTGCTGTCAATGGTTAATATCGACGCGTTGTTTCTATTTTCTCTGTTTGCTTTCATCATCTGCTTACAATTTGTTCCTGTTCTCGCTATGCCCATGCATAGGACTCGCATCGGTTTGACGCGGCGATTGGGTTCATTGTCGATGAGTCGGGACATGTTTGAGAACTAGATGTTATCCGTGGACCAAGAAAGAAATAGTGGGATCTTGAGGATATCGAGATTTATTTATACAATGCCATTCAAAACGCATAGAAATACGATCATACGGCCTCCAGAGCTGTCATTTGACCCCCGAAGTTAAACGTCAATTGGCTTGCGTGTTTCGGGTGATATATCAGACTTTCTCCATTCCTTGCTACAGTACGGAGTCATTTCAGTGTTTCATCGCCATACTCTGTACAGCTCCGATCAGTCTCTCCCTATGAGATGCTCATTCAGCCCAAAGTTCATAATGCGTATTGACGCGGGGGATGTCTATGATGTCATCCATATCGAACAAGTCCCACGGTTTAGATTGATGCGTCCAGTTCCATTTTCTGAAACAAAAGAAGTACGGAGTACTGCGTAGATCATACTTAAGTCTCACGTTTCAAGGAGTTTGATATATTGATAGAACAATTGGTGCTGTCGGGAGGCAAAACCTATTGTATGTTGGCAGTGCGGCCCGGGGGATAAGCGGGGCTCCGCTGTCCTTTTTCTCAATTTGAACTTCAACTGATCCCTTCAATTGCCAACTCATATTCAGTTATTCTACTCCGTACAGTCCGCCACTCTCCAGAACCAAGCCTCCATAATTCAAACACTGTTCGCGCAGCACAAATTTGATAACTTCTAAAGTTGGAACCGAACTCATCGGTCGCTTGAGGACACTGTGAGGACCTCCTGAAGTCTCATAGGAAATTCCCAGAGAAGTGAGGATTCAATCAGAGTGACCATGCCCAAGCAAACAATTGTGCTAGCCTGATGACATAACCTGTGGACTCGATCTGCACAGGTGGGCTCGGCGCTGGAGGCGATCAATCCACCCTGCCATTCTGCATGGGGATAGAATCTTGGGGGCTGGAAATCCGAAATCATTCAATGTAGGGGGCTGTCAACCAAGGGCTGGGCATCTCACGACCCGACTGAAATCGGAGAATTTGCAGGAAAAAGCTTCCAGTGCAGAACCTTGGAATTAGCGCTCATGGCTTCTGTGGGAGGCCATTCGCATTGCATACATATGTCCGACTGGGTGACAGCGGAGCGGAGTTTCGTCTGGCACGGAGTACTCCGTTGATATACGAGGGCTCTTTAGTTTCTCTTAACCCGTGGATCAAAATTGTGGCCAATTCGTGCTGAGGTTAATAAATGGAGCCGAGTCTGCACTACCAAGGCCGACTAATTATAGAGTGGCCAACAAAGCAGAGGACATTCCTATTCCGGAAAAACTGAAGGTGTCATACTCAAGTGCAGTATACAGCATTTGTCCCAATTACTTGTACCCAGTAGTCTTCAGGCAATCAACAGCTACATATTGATGCCACAGAGCTAGTATGTACGAGTAGATCACGATAAATGTCTCATTTCCCCTCTAAGGAATCACTAGTTTGCCGTAGTTCCTCGCAACCCCATGCCACTAAGGCTGCTTCGAGTAAGATTGTCGCCACCTCCGCACGCCACTGGTGAAAAGTCAGTGGTTGGTTGCTTGAACGACATCATCCACTGCACCAACTGTCTAGTGGCCGGACATTTCCTGGGATCCTCTTCACCGCATGGGAGAAAAGCCCTTAGAATGGGTCTCGTGGTGATTTTCCCCTAAAAAGCAAGGAACAATTGAAGAATCAACCGAAAATATCGTATGTTGATTCTCTCCACCTTGAAAATCGAAAAGGCACTTAAAGATCGGCTCCCTGCTGTTGACCAGCCTTCCCTTTTGTTGCCCTCAAATACCTCCCGATTCCCTTTCACTTCCACACTCTTCTACAATTCACAAGTCCAAACCTCGCAATAAACCACAATGAAGTTCTTCGCACCTCTCCTCATGCTGGCTGCCTCAGCCATCGCCGCACCCGTCGCCAGCACCACCAAGCACTTCCACCTTAAGTCCAGCGGCGCGACCAACCCCGACCACAACGACCTATACGTCTACGCATACCACACAGGGGCCGGCCTCAACGATGCCGTCTTAACCAAGGACATCGACACCGCCAGCTCCGTCTACCTAAACGGCACCAAGGCCCTCTTTGACCTGAACAGCGATTTCCCATGGGGAGTCGTTGCTACCGGCAACACCAATTATGCCTGTGAGTAATCCCCGCGTGCAGATTCCAACCCAAACTAACACCGCCCACAGCCTGGGAACCTATCCTCATCAACGCTGGGGCAGGCAGCGAGGGCTTCTCCGTCAAGGGAAATAACTTCCAGTGGTCTGAGGCCAGCGGCTTCGGTGGATGGCTCGGTAAGACAACCCGCATTTCTCCACAAGATCATCGCTAACTCTTCACAGTCTGCGACTGGTACCACAATGCGCCTCAACTGTTCTACCTGAACCGCTTCTACAATGCCACCATCCCCTCCAGCTGCAGCAAGGTCCAATTGAAGGCCGATTACATCAAATAGATACGGTCGCGTTGGATCAGGATACCCTTTACGCCCCCTTATGCCCCCAACTTAATGTCTACTATAATAGCAATTTTGAGCGATTATGAATGCAAATGCTTTTGAATTGAGACGCTTGTGAAACAGGGATATCAAATAATCACTAAAGGTGCAAGGCACCACGTCACATCATTGAACGTAAAGCGTTTTCACTCGTGCTGTCATGAAGCCATGACTTGGCTGGGTCCGAAGTCATAATACCGCTTATCCATACCAGCCTGCAGACGGGCCTCCTCATTGAAAGGTCCCCGGATCGGACCGTTGAAGTGTTTCTTCACGTTGGTCCGGAACACCTGGACAGGATCCGTTCCTTCCTGATCGCAAATCCAAGTCAACCAGCGGTGTCCGGTGGTGACATGTGTAATCTCATCATTGTGAATGATCTCCAAAGTATCAACGCTTGCACCATCGCCGGCCCGCCGGAACTTCGCAATCGTCATAGGGTTAACGTCCAGACCACGCGCCTCGTGGACCAACGCGACGATGCTGATCCTCGCGCGCAGATCGTGTGCCGTTTCTGTCGCGGAATACCACAGGCTGTGGTGGACGGGGAGAGAACCAAAGGCAGCGCCCATTTCTTCCAGACGCGTGCGCAAAAGTGAGAAGTGTTTGGCCTCGTCGTTTGCGACCTTCAACCAGTCGTGGAAGAAGGTGCGCGGAAGTTCTTGGGATGTGCCGGTTGTTTGGAAGGTCGCGAATCGGATGCAGATGTCGATGGCTAGATCGATAGCCCAGAGCTCGATGTTGGCTAGTGCATGGAGCATGTTGATTCTGCTCTTCAGTGTCCCGCCCTTTCCTGGCCTCGGCATCTGTCCCGGGTCCACAATCTCCATCTTCTCCCGTGGTGGTTGGTCCGGCGCTGTCACGGTTCCTCGGCCAAGTGGCATCGGTGAGTCTGTGTTTTCTCTCTCGACGAAAATGGAAAACAGGTGCGTTGTCAGCTCGATCTTGTGCTCTGGGTTAGCGGTGTTGAGGATGTGCGCCGCCCAATCGCAGAGCGTTGCGCTGTCGTCGAGGTATCGCGCCATTCCTGGGTCTTCGCGACTGGGTGCGGCGGGTTTCTCTGATGGTCTCGGGTTCTTCAATTTGATTTTCTCGCTGACCGGATCCACACTGGCAAGTGAGACGGATGCGCCGTCCTCAACCGGGAAATCAAGCGCAACGAACTCCCCCCGCACATCAACGGGGAATGTACATGCCTTGAGACCCACGCTCGACTCTCCAGTCTCTACGTTGAAATCGTAGGCATGCCACGGGCAGGATGCAACGTATGCCAAATCCTCAATATCCACTGACGAGTCTGCCATGGGCCCGCCTGCGTGCGGGCATTCCGCCTCCATGGCGTAATATGACCAGCCATCGTTTGTGTCGTTGACTTTTAGATTTGACGGATCGATCGTCGGTAGGCGGAAGAGGACCAGTTTCTTGCCGGTGTTGAGGCGAACCACATATCTGGCCTGAGTGAAGTCAGATAGCTTGCCGCAGTTGATCCACATTGTGAAGATGGAGGGGAGGGCAGTGGGTTGACACTTTTCGCAGATTCAATTTATCAACCACGTGACTTCTTATCTTTCTTGGCATCGTTATAAGCCTTGGCGTGCCGCTATTTAAGGCTATTTAGGGAGAGTAATTTATTGAATCCTCCGTACAAACTTCCAAGGTTAAATATTGCGGACAACACACTTATAAGTATTCCGTCCTCGATGTGACCTGTCAGTAAATGCCCAAGTACTCCGTACTCCGTACTCCGAGTCTCATTTAATTTTAAGTCTCCCTATATGGAGTACGGCTTCAGCAATAGCTTTTAGAAAGCAAAGCACCCGGACAAGGAGAGATCAAACCCATTCTGAACAACATCTCCCCTGTCTGCAAGATTTTCTTCAAACATTCAGTCTGTAATCCATTTCTGTGCACAGTCGATGCGTGCTCATTAAAATCCCCTATTATGTTCCGGTTTGCTTAATTAAAAGCCTTAACCGCCGATAATAGGTCGGCGGAGTGGGCCTCGCTTCTCCTAAAGGTTACTTAATTTTTTCTCTCCCTATATCATTAAATTAAGGAAAGAATTTGCCTTTCATTAAAAGTGTTTGGGGTGTTAAATTGTCTATGTAAATAATTTTCTAAAGTTCCCAACGGCCCCAGGTGTTTTCTTAACCTCGAACCTCCGGACTTAGAACTTCGATAAGAGCGCATAATTTTCGATAAGGGCGCCGCACCCAAGTCTACTTTCACTTCTACAACCTCGACGCAAGTTCAAGCTTCACCCGATTTCATTTCTCCTGGATTGAAAAAAAAAAAAATCTACGGATACCAAGGTGGTATGGAATATGTATGTCCGTCTTATCGAGCGTAGTGAGCTAACAATACGCAGTTTCGCCATGGACGGTGCTGCTCGGTCGATCAACTGGGGAGCTTGTCGTCAAGGTGTTTCGTCGACACTCCCACGGTTTGATTCCTTGTCCCGAGAAAATAGTGACCTGGTTCGATCCTACCAGACTGTTCTGGACAACGACGAGACCTTCTCTCAGTACTTTTCGGATCAGCCGTTGCATAGTTATGGGATTGAGGCCAGTCTCCGTGAAGAGCTTGGAGTGGGTCCACCATGTCTGCCAGACCCTGAGAATCCTTCAGACGCCCGTCAGGCTATGATTAGCTGGGCTACTATCTTTCGTGAGGGAGACTTCGAAAAGCAACCCGAGGGTGGCTATATCTGTCGTGTGCAAGGGAAGATCATTGAGATCGATGAGACCATGCACAAGACGATAATGATCAGCCGACGTGCCTTTCCCCCAGCTGCACAGACCTGGCCCATTCCTGATGACCTGGAAAGAGAACTTGAGCTAGGGCTTTCGATTGAGGTGGACGTTGACAAAGAGATCAAGTCTCAGATCGAGTGTCAGTAGCTGCTTCTCACAGCTTCGAGCTAACCCTCAAGCCCACTGGCCTTTTACTAACCAGAATATCAGGTGTTGAGAGATTGCAGAAACTCCAGCTTTCATTGAAGAAGCGTCGTAAAGTCCTCGAGGGCATTCGTGATCCCAGCAGTGTTGAGAAAGTGGAGAGGCGCACCCCAGAGCCATCCTATGCAAAGCCCCCGACATCGACACAAACCTTAACCTCGCCAAGCTTGACTGCGTCAAGCGGTCACGATATTGCCTGTGGTGAAGGCAAGAACACGTCGAACGCCCATGATCACTCGACGACGGATAAGCACGACTCTAACGATTCGAATGATCAACATGACAACAAACGCGTATCAACCCACGCGGTACAAAGCATTAAGAATGAACAGACAACCAAGGGTTTGATACAACAAACAAGCCACGAGGTGATCAGTATTGCCGATACATGCAGCAGCACGCCTTCAACCCCCCCTGAACCTTCCAGTTTGCCCGCTAGTTCTCTCCCTGCCACGGTGCCGTCCACTGTCTTTACCCCATCTGCTGCGTTCATGCCGATCAACCGACCAATTGAACACATCCCCTCCAAGCGTTTGCAAGGAAGCCAGCCCACTCAAGGTGGGACTAGCCAAACACCCAAACGATTCAAATCTGCACACCCGACTTCAGCATCAGATCTTGAAGTTCTCCAACACGGCCAACACCTGGCAATGTGGAACGAGCAACAAAATACAAGTTCACCAAGCCAGAATACCACCACGGAGGGCAAGCCCCCGAAGGAGAAAAAGCGACGTGAGCGCAATAATTTCACAGAGTATGAAAAGCAGCACGCCCCGCAATGGATCCGACAACAAATCGACGCAGCTATGGTCGGAACCGAGCTCGAACGAGCGTATACCGCCCGCTTCGGCACCCACCATCAGTTCTACACTCTGAAGGCGTTCGTCGACCGGATGGAACGCAAAGCAGCAGAACAAGAGAAGCGAATCGAGCGCCTCGCCGAAGCTAAGAAGGACGCAGTCAACAACGAAAAGTCCAATGATGCAGGCGATTCTGAGACTGGAAGTAAGATTGTGGTTTTGAAAGTACGGTTCCCGCCCACATCCTCATCCACCCAACCCCAACCCCATGGAACACCCCCTGACTCCAACCCTATTCCTCCCAATTACCATGGCCAAACATCTGACAAAAACAACAGGAGGGCTCGACCGATAGAGCCCTCGGACAGAGTACTGCACTCCGCGCAGAGACCGTAGCCGCAGACAGCCAACCCATGCCTCTTGTTCGACCGCTACCGCATGGCTACCCCCTTCCATCGGCTCAGCCCTAGATAATGAGGTTTCGAAACGCTGTGTCGTAAATTTTATGAAACCTAGAACATACGACGATTTAAGATCCGGGGCTCTCTGCATATGTATTTTAATTTTTTAGCATCCACCATCTGTTGCTTATCACATCATTTGGACCGACCCCGATCCATTTGGACCGACCTTGATCCATTTGGACCGACCCCGATCTATTTAAATTTTAGACCGATCCCGACCTGTTTAGACCGACCCCGACCTATTTAGACCGACCCAATCTATTTAGATTCCCCTGATCTATTTAGATTCCCCTGATCTATTTAGATTCCCCTGATCTATTTAGATTCCCCTGATCTATTTAGATTCCCCTGATCTATTTAGATTCCCCCGATCTATTTAGACTGACCCCGATCCATCAAGGCCACACGAATCAAGACCTATTCGTCGAACGTTCATTGATCCATGGGATCCACTTACTAGTCTCGCATCCTCGTTCTGTCGTATGTTTTCTCTTTAATGCTGTTCATGCATACCTAGTACTGTTATCGATACCTACTAGGTGAAGCTGGGACCAGCCCCTGGTCAAATATTCCAACTCGAATAGCCGCCTTTCCAACGACTCACGAGAATTGATAAAGTCCCCGGTTCGGCCCCGAACTGGTGGTTGGTTCTTGTGGCAACCAACCAGCTCCCAAAGAACCTCAGAATGATCTAATCGAGCCCTGGAAGGCAAGATGGCCCTTTTTACCCAGTATGGCAATGCGGTTTTGATAGATGAGGTTGAATACTTAATTATCATATGATATTAATTTGAAGCCAAGGTTCACTCTGCAAATGCTTGGTAACATAATAAATAAATCCTCCTTGATCTTATCACTACACATAATGATGGTAATAGGCATTAATACCTTCTACTTGAGTCGGTAAACCGATGTATCAGCACGCATGCCACTAACGTTTCCAATAGTCTCGACGCTACTTCGAAGTCGGCAACCAGATTCGTCCACAGACAGGACTAGGAAGGCGAGCTGATAAATGAGCGCTCACAGTGCACGTCTCATTTGTCAGACAAGCTCGACACTGTAAAGTACATATGAGAAATTCTGTAGAATAGCCAATCACGGTGTAGCCATGATTTACAAAAGTACCGGGCTAAGAAACATACCCAATCATGAATCATCTGTATGTTGGTGGATCTCTTAGCGTATGTAGTTCAATTCGGCGGGTCTAAATCAAACAAAGAAAAAAGGGGGCCAAATGTGGTCTGTGGAGATCCTTGTGATTAACACTACTTGGTAGATAACTACATAGTAAAACTGAAGCGCTCGCCTTGATCTTTTAAAATGTCACGTTCCGCCACATTTGATTGTTTCCACTACGCCCACACGCCTACCCATCATCTAAGCCATGTCAGAAATGATACCGTGCAAGGAGAGTTATGAATTCCTCTGCAAAGCTTCCACATCATCTGAGACTTACACGCGCAGCATGAAGGTGAAGGGGTCTCTGACCTCGAGATTCGAGCATATTCTTTTTGAGCCAGTGGCGTATAAGACGGCAGAAAGATTAATGGCCAAGATGTTCAGCACCCCGCAGCCGCGCACAGAGAGCTACGACCAGAAAAACTCCATCTCATGGACTGATATCGTGCGCATGTCACTGAGCTCCAGTGACTTTGAGCATCAAGGAAATGGGTTATACCGGTGCACGGTGCGGGGAACGTTGGTCCAAATGACTAAAGAGGACAGGGATGAGATATTGGACCCGGATGGTGTATGTCGTTTGACGATAAAGCCATTTTCACAGGAGGACGAAGAGCGCTCGAAAGCGAGGTTCATTGAGTTCTCGGTTCAGCACAAGCAAAAAATTTATGACAGTGGGTTCTTCATGAAATCTCTTGGCAATGTTTATACAAATAATCAAGACTTACTCGCTTTACAGTGTGGCAGGATTGGAATGAGGTCCAGGAAGGACTGGGATACGTGGATACGAACACCTATACACGCTCAAATGGAAAGCCAGACACAAACACACAAAGCGACGGCGAAGAGGGATACGATACCCCAGAAAATTCGGAACCGGTTGACCCACACGATGAAATCACGAAGAGGAATCGTGAACTTCTCAATCCAGGCCATTCAAATTCCGCAGAAACGCGCAATATTGCTTCAAAAACAGTTTCAGACCAGTCTCGCTCCGAGGTCCTTCAAAGCGACTCAAACGATAAATCTCGGACTGATCTCCAATCCGTGAAGGGTCCGAGAGCCGCCGGTCCAGACAACACGGAGAAAAGAAGAAAGGGAACTCAAACAACGTTGAACCCTGACACCTACCGTGTGAATTCAACCACACGTGTATATCAAGGTTCCAATGCTCGCGAGGAAAGGGCTAGCTCGACTGTCTCCACCGGTGGGGATATCGGCTATGACGGCAGCGAAGTGAATGAGCCGAGAAAACAAAATGCCGGGGGTATCAGCGACACCCAGGACGAGCAGGACGGGGAAAGTGGTGACGGTGACGACAGCGACAGCGATGAACAGTTGCACCACAAACGACTTCGCACTAACCAGGAGTCTTCGAACCGGCGCAGGTCTGATATAGGGCCCCCATCCAGCAGCCGTCGGACAAAATCGTATGGACCGAACGGCAGGGCACAATACACGGTCGAAGAATTGAAGCAAGGCCCTCAGTTTTTAAACAAACTTCTCACGAAAAAAAATCTCACTCGTTTATTGAGGCCGAATATAATAAGAGATTTGAGCCCCTGACAAAACGAACCCTTAAAGGTATGAAAAGGAAATTTGGCAAGGGTCTTGACTTGACGTGGGTACTGTCACGGGGTGAAGTCAGCTGAGACTCTGCCCCAACTGTCCGCCTCCGTTCCTGATCCTGTTGTAGCTCTTCGAGCTACGTCCTGTCATCATCCTGTATCCTGCCTGTCTGTCTGCCTGTCTGTCTGTGTTAGCTCCTAGCCTTATGGGACCCTGATCCCGCTCCACACCCTGACAGTCACGATGCTAGGCCACTCGAGAACATTGATTGGAGACAGAAATGTGCGTTTTGAGATATTGTCTTGGTATGACAAGTTAGTTTATTTATCAACCACAACTAATCTTAATTTTAACTTTTGATACACACGGAATAGGCTCTCCAAACTAGGACATAATATCAGAGGGCATCACTCATACTTACTGGGCGCAAGACTGTATATGAAATATCGAAGCGCGGGAACAGTTCTCCCGTGTAGTTGAGGTTGACCTATGGATATATTTGTACGAAGAAATAAACAAGTTTGGAGAAAGGAAAAGATATAAGACATACATCCTAGCATTGATCAACTAGCAAAACTCGCAGGAATTGATTGATTCGGAGGGGGGACGCCTGGGTGAGGTTGATACTGTTGTGTAGAGGGTTCGCCCCAACCCTGTAGATCGAGCGTCTTCCGGCTCCTCTCTCTTCTCTCTCTCTCTCGCGCGCGCGCTAGTCAATCGATCTGTTCCTTCCGCCACTTCTCGTGTGTAGGCCCAACAGATAATGACGCCCTCACTTTCATTTCAATACCTAAAGTTCTTCTGAGCAATCAACATACATTTGACCTCTCGTGTGGTTCCGGGCGTGTGCGCCTGCGCCCGTGGGGTCCCCGCCGCTCCCCGAGCTGCACCCCGAAGTGAGCCCCCGAAGTGAGCCCCGATCCATGCCACACCCCACATTCCGCATCCACCGTTCCGTCGAAGTCGCATACGCCACCTCACCGAATATTGTCATATTCAACATACACCAAGTGAGCTTCGAGCTACACGATATTCGTCAAACCATCACTGTGTCGTTTGCTACCATCAGCATGTTTGCTTTCCATGCGTTTCCTTGGTCTGAGCTATCAAAGCAGCTCTATCTGTAGCTCCATAGTCTTCTTCCTTCCTCCTTCTCTATCTCCCGAGCTAGTCAATCGATCTGTTACGTCCGCTGCTTCTCGCCCGTGGGCTCAACGTATACTACAGGCGCGGCTCTTTTGATCCTTTCCAAATCTACTGGTATTGAGATTTGCCCTGAATTCTTATTCTTACCTGATGCTCATCCTTGCTTGTCTCTTCTTCCTCTTTTACAAACAAATCCCGCACCACAGTGGATGGGCTGCTCACAAGTAAAAATGGCGACCACGAAGGATCCATCATTGCCATCGCTGCAACCCACCCATGAGCTCAACGCCCTGGTCGACAAGCTCATCAATTTGAGGGAAAAGAATGAGCCTCTAGCGCCATCGATTGAGGCAATCCAGTATCGGACTTTGAAGCAGAAAACCTTACTTGAGACATTCCACAGCGAAGGACCACGCATAGTGGCTCCCCTACCCAGTAGAACAATCACTTGGGGTGACATGATTGATGAGGGTCTATCCCATCTCGATTTCAAGCCTTATGGGGATAGAAAATACAGTTGCAACGTTCAAGGAATCATCCTCGAAGTCACGGAGAGCGAGCGGGACGAACTACTGGGTGGAAATTGCGAACCACATCCCTCCAGCATGGGTTCTAAATCGGCACGCGAGCGTCACGCACGATCTCAAGCCCGGCAATACGTTGACTCCATGATCAATGAGATTTCATGCAGTAAGTACTCCCTTTCCATGCCCCGATACGATCCACGTTTCTCTCGGATGCTGATCTCTCTGGAGGTCTCGAGAAATTGAACAAGTGTGCTACACTACTTAAATACGACCCCGATCTCGTTGCGGTCGACTTCGACCGCGATGGTTACTCCATCTCGGACGCTGGTGTTGGAAAAAAGGAATTCTGTGACAATTCGCCTGTAAAGATTGAGGACCTGGCGCAACTTCGAGAGCAAAAACCACCTCGAGAGGAAAAGCCACCTCGAGAGGCACAACCACCTCAAGAGCAAAAACCACCGCGAGAGCAAAAACCACCGCGAGAGGAAAAGCCACCGCGAGAGGAAAAGCCACCGCGAGAGCAAAAACCACCGCGAGAGGAAAAGCCACCGCGAGAGGAAAAGCCACCGCGAGAGGAAAAGCCACCGCGAGAGGAAAAACCACCACATTGGGCACGCACCACTCACGCCGACAATCCCAGTGGTGCTTCTCACTTCCCCTCCAGCTCATGGGATAAAGGGTTTGGTTGTCGTTACAGGGATCGAGAAACGCAAGAGGGGAAAGCATACCTGGAGTCACTCGTTCGGAAGGGGTTGCACCCTAGAGAGATTGAAACTGCGTACATGGAGCATTTCGAAATACGTCGCAGCTATCATGCCCTGCGCCAAAAGTTTAAATTGAAATCACGTTACCGAATGGCGCTAAAAGCCTGGGTCGAAACACAGTCCGGTACAACATCACCAGGCAAATCGGCCAACGGCTCGCAGGGGTAGTTGTCCCAGCGTGACGACAGAATGACAAGAAGCCAGGTCAGCTATAGTAAGGAAAGTTGTGGGAAATGGGAGATGAAAGGCTGCAACCTGCGTGCCAACCCGGCCCGTTCGCGTTTTTACAACGAGTGAGTCGGTGGCAGATCTTCGTGTGCTGAATGATTTACTTTGTCAATTCACCGATTTTTTTTTTTTTTTTTTTTTTTTTTTTTTTATTATTTTTTTTTTTTTTTTTTTTTTTTTTTTTTTTTTTTTTTTTTTTTTTTTTTTA